GAATTTTAATAATGTCTGTATCTGATTAGACCAGACCAAATCATTGTATTATGGCCCATGGACCTTGAACTTGAATTTAAGATCACTTTTTATAACCACTCTCCATTATAAACTGGATTAATATAGAATTAGCTCAGCACAGAAGTTGTATTGTCTTCACCATTAGAATTAAAGACCTTGATGACACTTGCTCCTTGAATCTGAATAAATTAAGATATTTATTTCTGTGGTGACACAATGCACACATGAGCAAACACAGCCAAAAAACATTTTAAGATCTGTCTGAAAACTCAAGAAAAAACACAAAATGAATTCAAACAACATTTTTCCTGGAGCCTGTGATCAATACGAGCGTTCACGGTCCTGTTTAGGTGTTTGATTTTCAACAAAAAGGTGAGAGTGACTGAAAACTGTAGTTCTAAATAAACCAATGCTTTTTAGTCAAATTGTGTAAAATAAAGATCAGATTAAAGTCTAACAAGCCTCAGACGGAGCATGCCTACAGTTAGCGTCACACCCCTATGCAATGTATACTTTATATTTAACACTGTATACTCTAAATGTACGGATTAGGATTTATTAGTTTTCCCTCATTGATTACCGTATTTTTCAGACTAAAAGGCGCACTTAAAATCCTTTAATTTTCTCAAAAATCAACAGTGGCCTTATAATCCTTTTGCACTTTATGTATTAATTCTGGTTGTGGTTACTGACCTCAAACTGATTTTACACGGCGCTAAAACATCTGTCAAAATGTTTTAGTACGACCTTGGTAAACTATAAAGCTTCACTGCTTGATGGATTGATGGAGCATTACAGCTACTGTAGCCAGGAGCCTTGCGAAGTAAAGGGTGAAGTATAGTTGTGTGTCACCATTTATGATATCAGTGAAATGCTACAGAGAATGACGTATGACCTGCAGACTTATAATCTCTGAAAAATTACACATGAACCATCTCCAATGAGACAGAAGCACAGAATAGACTCATCTTCAGCAGCACATCCTCTGTCACAGAAAGAACACATATAATCCATTGATTCGCATCTTTTAGTCCGACAGAAGCTGAACTGCATCAGCACACAAGCAAGAAAACAAGCTGTTTTTTCAGTGTTTATAGTTTATGCAAATTAGCCATGTGGTTTTAAGTTTCGTTTCTGTAAAACATAAACAAATGTGCGCAAAGTTGCATTAAACACATTATTACTCAATGTGTATTTGAGTCCTCTTCGTAGGAAATAAAAAACAAACTTAAATTATCCACCCACATTCACTAAGACGGCGAGGCAACACCGGGCAAATTACGCCACGATCTGCCAATGGGATCGTGGACGCCTGAGCTAAGGGATCAGTCTCAAGTGTCGTCATTTGTTTTGCTTAATGCTCCTGATAATTTGGTGTGCCTTATGTATGAAAATAGATGAGAGAATTCAACATTATTGATATTGCGCCTTTATAATCCGGTGCACCTTGTAGTCCAAAAAATACGGTAGTCAAACAAAAACATTTTAAACATTTTCTGACATCTTTATTGCTTTATTAATCACCATGGATACAAATTCTCCTCACAATCTTCTCGGCCAGAGCAGCTCATTCATTGCCATTATAGTCCGAGTAGCAACATCAAGCAAATCCTAAAATCGGCTAGTGCTGCTTGAGTCTCCAGCTGTGGGGCCTGTGCTTTCCTCTCTTTTTCCTCCAAGCTCAGACAGCTCTTTTGTCTTCTCTCTCTCCTTCCTCCATACTGTTGTTCACTCTCTCCCTCTCTCGTCCGTGTCCGCTCTCTCGCTTTCTTGTCTCGTCCTCATCCTCTCCACCTCCATTCTTTTCCCTGTTCCACCCTTCCATCCATCCGCCCCTCGCCGAACCCACAGTCGGTTATGGGGCTGGGGTGTGGACGGACTCAAGCACCCCCCTGCCCCCCCTCCTCCTCCTCTTCCTCCGCCTCAGTCCCACCCTGCCGCCCCCTCCCTCAGGGTCCTGCGCAGAGCGTACTCTCCCAGGTAACCACCGGGGGGGCCGGACACGGATTCACATAAAGCAGTCTGTCTTCAGTAGCACACATTCAACATATATTAGGTGTACTCAGTTTGTAGATACACTTTAAAAACAGGTCTAGCATCAAAATGAGCTATTTATTGTCCATGAACCAGGACGTAGCGTTGGTGCACTGTTATCATACTAGCTGTTTTTAGCACCTGTGATGGTAAAACTCCGCTCTAGCCTCTAAAAGTTGCACATTAACTAACTAATTATGAAGCTAGGATTTCATTTGGACACATTTCTCAATCCTGTATGCATAATTCAAGTGCTTTTAAAGAGAATTTGTAATTTTTTACCAAAAACAGGTCTTCAAAATGCGTCAAAATGATCTCTCTGCAGCTAAATATAATAATACGTCTTTTTATTGTTCGCGAATTAGGGAGTAGCATTGGTGCACTGTTATCATACTAGTTGTTTTTAGCACCTGTGATGGTAAAACTCCGCTCTAGCCTCTGAAAGTTGCACATTAACTAATTAATTATGAATTATGAATTCATCTGGATGCATTTCCCAGTCCTATGCGCATAATTCAAGTGCTTTTAAAAGTAATTTGTAATTTTTTTTTACCTATACTTTGTAAAAACAGGTCGTCAGAATGTGTCAAAATTATCTCTCTGCAGCTAATTATAATAATACACCTTTTTATTGTCCATGAATCAGGAAGTAGTGTTGGTGCTCTGTTACCATACTAGTTATTTTTAGCAACTGTGATGTTAAAACTATGCTCCTGTCTCTAAAAGTGTATATAAACTCCTTGCTATGAATAATTATGAAGCCAGGAATTCATCTGGACACATTTCTCAATTTTCCTATACGCATAACTTAAGTGCTTTTAAAAGGAATTTGTAAACTTTTTATAATTATACATTGTAAAAACAGGTCTTCAAAACACGTCAGAATGATCTCTCTGCAGCTAATTATAATATTACACTTTTTTATGGTCCGCGAACCAGAAAACTAGTGCACAGCTAGATGTTGTTAGCAACTGTGATGATAAACCTCTGCTCTAGCCTCTGAAATGTTTTATAAAGTGTTTATAAACTTCTTACTATGAATAATTATGATGCTAGGAATTCATTCAGACAAATATCTTAATTATCTTATACTGTACACATAATTCAGATGCTTTAAAAGGAATTTGAAAATTTAATTTAAAAACTGAGGATGAATTTGAATGTTTTGTCTCGTTTTCTACACAGATAATCTCAAATCCCAGCATACAATTTCATGTTTATTGTCTACTGTAAACAACCCTTTTTTTAACATTGCAGATGCTGAGCTGCATGATATTACAAAACTAAAAGAATACTAACACTAAAACACTCACTAACTACTAGGGATGTAACAATGACCGAAATACTGTGATATCGTATCGTCAAAGGTTTCAAAATAATATGATGGACCGTCACAATATATAATATTGGAAGACTCTTTGCTTAAATTAATAGTTATGATGCAGCAATTGCTAAAAAAAACATAGGGAACTACATAGACCATGATCCTTTGCTCTATTTCACTTCAGACTACAACAGTTCTAAGCACTTTCAAGTCTTAGTTCTTTAGATTAGGTCTTATCGAGGCATTTTAAGAGGAAAAAGTAGAGTATTCACAGTTTTGTCAGCCTCCACAAAATATCGTAATAAATTTCATCCCGTGAGATGTATATCGTGAGAATATTTTACTGAGAGATTTGGATATTGTTACATCCCTACTAACAAGTTCATTCTCCTGCTCAGTTACAGCATGTAGCTCAAATACATCTCTGTACCCAGGCTTTGTGTAAATGCCGTTGTTTTTTCGTGTGTTAGCATGATGGAGTACGACACAGAGAACATGAACTCAGAGGAGATCTACAGCTCCCTGCGCGGAGTCACCGAGGCCATCCAGAGCTTCAGCTACAGGAGCCAGGAGGACCTCAACGAACCAATCAGACGAGGGCAAGAGGGACGACGCCGTGAGTGTTTTTACATATATGTGTATATTTATGAAACAGGCAGGGCATGTAAGATAATATAGACAACAATCATGTTCACTAAATTTGCACTGTGTACCTTTTTGGTTGGAGGTCTGTCACCTGCCTGTTTCTATGGATATGTCATTGCTTTGCCTGGAATGTTCCACAGTATGACATTAAACAGCTCTATCTTACATTTATTCAGTTACAGGTGGTTTTATAGCTCAAAAATATCTAGAAAAACAGACATTCTGACTGTAAGCGGGGTTGCCTCTCCAGAGATCTGACCTGTATCTTGGTCTGGTTTGGTCTTCATGAAGATAGAAAGGTTTAATGCCATACTGTGAAACATTCCAGACAAAGCAAAAACATTTTCATTGAGAAAAAACATTTTAAGGACCCTTTAAAAGGTTGTATATTTCTCAAAATTGATTCTTTGAGTTTTAAGCCATGTTACCCAGGGCTGGGTATCATTCAGAAGTTGCCGATACGATACATGCCTCTATACATAAGCCACAATATGATACATATCTCGATACAGTGAGCTTACGATTTGATACGATTCAATATAATATATTTGAAATTGATTCGTTACAGTTAAAAAAATAATAAAGGCTAAATCATGGCTGTGATACTAAAAGTCTTTGTTAAACCACTTCTTGTTAAAAGTTAATATGAAACACAAACATTTTAATCATCAAAACTGTGAATACGTCAAATGTGTTAAATTAGTTTATTTCCTTTAAGCAAGCAATAAAACTGCTCTGTAACAATTTTTTTTAATCAAATATACAAAAAAAATAGTCTTGGCGATATATCGATACAGCAGCCCATGATATCGATACTGTATTATCACATTAAATTATACGATATATCGATATTTCAATATTTTTGCACACCCCTAGTTACAATACTGTTACCTCCTCAAAAACATACCCGAAGTTGTGCTTTGTTTCATTCACACGTTTGAGTAATCCTTTATTATTAGTCTGTCTACATCTCTAAAGCTCAAAATGCTCTGTTCCACCTTGTGATGTCATGAAGCTGTAGTTTTCAAGTCAATAGCCACAACTTTTTCCTTTAGTTCAGTAGAGATTGACAATTCCAGGGCTGAAATCATCCAAATGATTCTTGTGAAGGTGTATGGAGTTTAAAACACAGTGGAGCACTTCCTGTATTACCACATGACATCACAAGTTATTCTGCTTAAGTATGTCTAGATTTGTGTGTATTAAACATGTGTGAGTGAAACAAAACAAAACTCTAGTTATGTTTTTGATGAAACAACATAATAACATAGAATAGAAAATTACATAATATATGGGCCCTTTAAAGGTGAATTGCTTTTTTACTTTTCTGGTGGAATCTGGTGTTTGAAATGTTTCACAGTATGGTATTAAACCTTTCTATCTTCATGGAAACCAAACCAGACCAAGTTACAGGTCAGATCTGTGGAGAGGCATCCCCGCTCGCAGTCAGAATGTTGTTTTTCTGGGTATTTTTGAGCTATATAACCACCTAATTGAATAAATGTAAGGTGGAGCTGTTTAATGTCACACTGTGGAGGAACATTTCAGGCAGAGCAATGACATATCCATAGAAACAAGCAGGTGATGGACCCCCAACCAAAAAATTACATAGTTTGCCCTGTATAATGTCTGTATAATCCCTTCAGTTATCCAAGAGATCTTTCTAATGTTTCTCCACCTCTTCTCTTAGGCGGGACGAGAAGGACTGGCCTCCTCCCCGGGTTCTGACGCTCGGCTCGGGCTGGACATGGTGGAGGGGGGCCGCACCGCTCTGGATAATAAAACCTCTCTCCTGAACACGCCGTCTCCTCGCTCCTTTGCGGGGCCCCGCGCTCGAGAGTTTTCCCCTTACGGCTACGGAGAGACCATCTGCACCTACGACAAGAGCGCTCTGAAGGAGGCGGTGTTTGACGACGACGTGGAGCAGTTCAGAGACTGTGAGTGCAACATGAGAATCACACACAAATCTACTTTATTTTACTGCACATTTTATCAACAAAACAGTTTGTGCTTGTTTAAACATAACATTAAAAACAACAAAAGGGATTAAAAATAACAGAGGGTGCAAATGCTTAAACCTAACACCAGTAAAGTTAAATATAAGCAAACCCAGAAAATAGCAATAAATCAAATCAATAGTTAAAGTTTTCATTGTTTCAGTATATGTAAAAAAACATTACCAATTATGTATTAATTCAGGTTGTGCTTACTGACCTTGAAGCGATTTTATGTGGTACACGGCGTTCAAAAATCTGTCAAAATGTTTTAGTACGACTTCGCGGAGTAAAAGATGAAGTATAGTTCTGTGTCGACTCAACGCACACTGCCACACACTACCTTGTCGCAGACAGAACACTCAATTCCACTGAGTCGTGTCTTTTAGTCCGACAGAAGCTGAACCGCGTCAGCTGCAGAAGAAGCGAACAGTTTTTTCCGGCACTTATAGTTTACACAAATGAGCCATGTGGTTTTAAGTTTTGTTTCTGTAAAACATAAACAAATATGCGCAAGGCTGCATTAAACACATTATTACTTAATGTATATTTGAGTCGTACTTGTAGGAAATAAAAATGCAAACTTTAATGATCCACCCACATTCACATTCATAATACACATTCACCAAGACAGGGAGGCAACGCCGGGCGAATTACGCCATGATCTGCCAATGGATCATGGCGTACGTCTGGGCTAAGGGATCAGTCTCAAGTGTCATCCATTTGTTTCGCTTAATGCGCTTTATAATCTGGTGCACCTTATACTCCGAAAAATACGGTAATTACATTTAAATGATATCATATGACGGTCGTGCTATCAGGATTAATTCAAGTATATAGAAAAAAGTCTGACTTTACTTTACTGTGGAATTCATTGTATGTAGGTTTGCACGATAAATCACAAAATGATCAGTATCTGGGCTGAAACTGAACCACTAAAGCAAGTCTAAATTAGTATTATCAGAACTTACCGATTAGGGTAAATCTCTCGGTACAATATTATCACGATATGCATCTTAAGGTACGATACTTAATATAATATAATATAATTGTAGACAGGACACTTTTTTGCTTTTAAAATACCTTGACAAGATTTTGGTGTGATTATGTCCATCATAATCCCAAGAATTCAATTAAAAAACATATTTCTTCATGTTATTTGCACTGAAATGAATCATGGGATATGTAGTTCCCGATGTTTATAAACTGTTGCTATTATAAAACCGTGAATTTAAGCAAAGAAACTTGTGATTCGATATATTGTGACAGCCCATGATATTATTGTGAGACTTTTAACGATACAATATCATGATATTTTGGTTATTGTTACATCCCTAATACCGATATATCATCATAATAAAAAGTGTAGAAAGTAGCAAACATTTTAAAACACTTTTTTTTGTACAGATCTACCAGTCCATTTACAGCGGACATCAAATTTAAACGTTACTTTATCTGAAGCCCACGACTGTTGCTGTTTCAAACTTTCCAAAGTTAAACCCAAATGTTGCAGATGTTCTGTTTTTAGCCGCGTCTGTTGGATAAACATGATCTGGAGACGCCTCATTTACCATAAACAGTGTCCTCCTTGTGTAGCCGTGTTGTCATCACATTGTCTGTTCTGCATTCTGTCTCTCCATCCTCCCTCCCGCTCTCCCTCCATCCCTCTCTCTCACTACCTCCATCTGTCCCTCTGTCTCTCCCTCCCTCTCTACATCCCTCTCTCCTTCTCTCCCTTTTTCTCTTCCTCACTTCCTCTCTTCCTACCTTCTTCTCTCTCTCCTTCTTTCCCTCCTTCTTTTCCTCACTTCTTCTCTTCCTCTCCCTCTCTCTCCATCTCAATCCCTCTCCTTCCTCTCAACCTCTCTTCCTTTCTCTCCCTCCTTCTCTTCCTCACTTCTTCTCTTACTCTCCATCCTTTTCCTTCTCTCTCTCCTTCTCTTCCTCATTTCCTCTCTTCCCCTCCCTTTCTCCCATCCCTCTCTTCTCTCCCTCCTTCCCTTCCTCTCTCTTTCTCCCTCTCTCTCTCTCCATTCCTCTCCTTCTCTCCCTCCTTCTCTTCCTCACTTCCTCTCTCTCTCTTCATTCCTCTCCTTCTCTTCCTTTCTTTCTTCCTTCCTTCCTCTCTCCCTACCTCTCTTCCTATCTCTCTCTTTCCTTCTCTTCCTTTCTTCGTCCACTCTCACCTCTCTTCCTCACTCTCTTTCTCTCCCTTTCTCCCATTCCTCTCCTTCTCTCCCTCCTTCTCTTCCTCACTTCCTCTCTCTCTCTTCATTCCTCTCCTTCTCTTCCTTTCTTTCTTCCTTCCTTCCTCTCTCCCTACCTCTCTTCCTATCTCTCTCTTTCCTTCTCTTCCTTTCTTCGTCCCACTCTCCCAACCTCTCTTCCTCACTCTCTTTCTCTCCCTAATTCTCTTCCTCTCTTCCCCTCCCTCTCTCCCTATCCATCTCTCTCCTTCTCTCCCTCTCTCTTTCTCCCTCCCTCTCTTCTCTGCCTCTTTCTCTTCCTCACTTCCTGTCTTCATCCCTTTCTCCCATATCCCTCTCTCTTTCTCTCCCTCTGTCTATCTCCCTCCCTCTTTCTCCCCTCCCCCTCCCCTCCCTCTCTCTACCTCTACCTCTCCTTCTCTATCTCTCTCTTATCCCTCCCTTCTTCTCTCCTCTCCAGCCCGCCGTCAGGAAAGCGCGGAGAACAAGATGACCCTCCCCAAGTCGTATGCTCCCGGTAAAGTCCCCCCTCCTCCTCCCCTACTCACTCACTCACTCACTCACTCAATCACTCACTCTTTCACTCCACCCACGCTTCACTCCCTCTCTCACTCCGCTTGTATTCCCTCGTTCACATTACTGACCGTTCATTAACATCTCACTGCATCCTTTCTCATTCTAACCACCAATAACTTTGAAACACTCTGTCATTTTCTAAACAATTTACTCTTTGTGAACTTTATTTTTCACTAATACGTGTGTTTGTAAATGTTCCATAAAATAAGTCTTTATAGAATATTACTGTTGACATAGAGTTTAGCAAGACTCCTCACAACAAGAAGGTCCCCGGTTCAATTCCTAGATCTGACTGGGTCATTCTGTCTGTGGGTTTTCTTTTAAAGTGTCCATATTACACTTTTTTCTGATCTATGTTATAATGTTGTTTCCTCATCCAAAACAGACCTGGAGTTGTGTTTGTGTGTAGTTTCATTTATAGTTCTTCTCTCGAACTGAAAACAACTTGTGATGTCATGTGGTGATACATAAAGTGCTCCACTGTGTTTTAAAACTCCATGCACCTTCACTGCAATCATTTGGATTTTTCCAGCCCTAGAATCACCAATCTTTACTAAACAAAAGGTAAAAGGAGTTGGTAACTTGAAAACTATCGCTTCATGACATCACAAGGTGCAACAGAGCATTTTGAGCTTTGGAGATGTAAACAGACTAATAAATCAGGATTACTCAAACATGTGTTAATGAATTAGAACACAACTCTAGGCAGAGTCCTGCACAGGTCCATTTTTAGAGACCCGCACCCGCGCAGTTCAGCACCGCATCCGCCTGTGAACCCGTGATGATATCAAAGATAAACCCGCACCCGCCAGGACCCATTTATATACCACCCATTAACCGCTCATGGCCGTGATAAATCACACACAGATTATAAGCATTCTAACTGAAGCATCCATCAGAATACAAATTGAAAAGTTACGACTTCAAGAATTATAATTATGGAGGTTCGCCCACGTAGACTGTCGGGTGACCGCAGAGCTGCGCGGCCCATGGGGCTAAGCGCAACTGTCGCCCGATTGCGCTTTGTGGACACCCTGCTCCATGGACTCGGGGTTCACTCTCTCTTAAGTCCAAGATTAGTCCTGGTTTAGACCTGGTTTAGACCTGGTGCAGTCCTGGTGCAGTCCTGGTGCAGTCCTGGTGCAGTCCTGGTGCAGTCCTGGTGTAGTCCTGGTGTAGTCCTGATTTAATCCTTACCCGTATGTAATTACTACCCTCCCGTAAAATTCCAGAATGTTAAAACCTGCCCGTTTCAGCAACTATTTGCCCGTACCCCCGGGTACCCGACCCACTGCAGGACTCTGACTCCAGGTCTGTTTTAGATGAGGTAGCAACATTATAACATGGCTTAAACCTCACAAGAGTCAGTTTTGTGTAATATAAGACCTTTAAATTCTCATGCGCCTCTTAAACCTCATACTAACATAACGTATAAAGTTTTCAAATTGTGAAATCAAACTTGAAATTCAACTTTCAAATTCAAACAGCAGCTCGGTAGCCAGTAAACGAGCTGTCAAATCACCACTGTGCAGTTAGAATTTTGACCCTTCAAGGCTGCCATGGTGTTTCTAATTCTGTCCCAAACCTTTATTGTGAAAGGACAAAGGTTAAGTGAACCCGTGATATGCCGTTATTTGATGTGCATGAGGGTTTGTGAGTTTTCTGTAGGGTTTGCACTGAGTAACTTTATATGCCATACAGTGGTGACTAAAATGTTACAGCTATTATAAAAGCTATAACTTGAAAGGTCCTCAATTATGCAACATCTTTTGCTAAGGTTCACTGTGTAAATTTTGTGCTTGTCTTTATGGGAATGTTATGGCCTTTGTTTAGAATTTTCCACAATATGACATTAAACATATCTCTGTTACGTTTGTTATAATGTTTTCTTGTCAAAAACAGACCTGGAGTTGTGTTTTGTTTCATTCACACGTTTAACACACAAACCCTGCTTATTTAGATGGAGGCTGTTCCACCTTGTGACGTCATGTGGTAATATAGGACGTGCTTCGCTGTTTTTTTAAACTCGCTAGAATCGTTTGGATAATTTCGGCCCTGGAATAGCAAATCTCCACTGAACAAAAGGTAATAAGTAAGTGTTAACTTGAAAACCTCCGCTTCATGACATCACAAGTTAAAACAGAGCATTGTGAATGAAATTAAACACAACATCAGGTATGTTTTTGAGGAGGTAACAATATTCTAATGTGGCTTAAAACTCACAAGAATGTTTTGTGTAATATTGGACCTTTAAAAATCAGTCATGCATCCCGAATTTCAGACTTCCGATCATCGCGGAATGCATACCGGAAAGGGTCCTCCGAAACAGTGAATACCAAACCGCCTTGTTTGATTTCCTAGTGGGATGCGTCTATTGTCAGAGCCGATCTTTTCAAGTCTTTTGAACCATATCGCTTTTGTTTTTGGTTCTGATATTGTCATATTTTAGGTATGGGATTTGGACATGGTAATTGTGTGATTGCTGGATGTCCTAACAGTGGAAAACGGCTCAAGAAATGGGCTTTAGAAGTTTGCGAATTGGACGCAAACAGAATTGAAAAATAGTGAAAGGTAAAGGCGATGGGCAGTATTGATACACAGGAAGGACCAAAAAGGAAACCTTTGACTGCCTAAGAAATCATCCAGAGTTTGCAGCGAACATTTTGTATGTGGAGCAACAACAAAACAAAATCCTGATCTCTCGCTCCAGCTTGGTTACGGATTTAAAAAGTCAACACCAATGCAAAAGGCACCAGCTGTTCGCCAAGAAACACCTTCCACTGCAAAGCGACCAAGACGTAATGTTGCTGTAAAACCACAAGAACAAAAAAGTGCGAGCTCAGTCTGTTTGGTTTCTGTACTTCTTGCTTAACAAATGGGATCCCGCTTTGTTGGTGCTCAACATACAAAATGTTCGCTGCAAACTCAAGATGATTTCTTAGGCAGATAAAGGTTTCCTTTTTGGTCCTTCCTGTGTATCAATACTGCCCATCTCCTTTGCCTTTCACTATTTTTCAATTCCATTGAGAAGGGAAACAATTTGAACAGAGGTTTGCAGTCACACACATCTGATTCACTTTTGCATTTATGGAGTTTGCAAACTTCTGAAGCCCGTTTTCTGCTGTTAGGACATCCAACAACCACACAATTACGATGTCTGAATCCCAAAACTAAAATATGATAATACCAGAACCAGAAACAAAAGCGATACATTTCAAAAGACTTGAAAAGATCGGCTTTGACAATAGACGCATCCCACTGGGAAATCAAACACGGTGGTCTTTTTCGGAGGACCCTTCCCAGTATGCATTGCGCGTTGACCGGAAGTCCAAAATTCGGGATGCATGAATATTGGTTTCCACTGTATTGCAACACACACTTTAACAGCACAGTGTTAAAATATGAAATCACCATCTCTTGGTTTTGCTCAGTCTAACGGTGCTGTCTCCCGTCTCCAGTTGGCCAGGATCACTCGGACATGGTGGCGGATCTGCTGAAGGAGCTGTCCAATCACAACGAGCGCGCAGAGGAGAGGAAAGGAGCCCTGGTGGAGCTGCTGAAGATCACGAGAGAGGACAGCGTGGCCGTGTGGGACGAGCACTTTAAGACCATTCTCCTTTTGCTGCTGGAGACACTGGGGGACAAAGACGTAAGACTGGAGTGTAGATAAGCTTTAGCTTATACTAGTATGTGGTGGTAATGGTATTTTGTATTTGTACTGATGGAAGAGGGAGCTAAAACATTAAATAAGTGAGGTATGTTAGCTCATGAGACACGTTTTTTGTAACTAGTTTACATTGTTCAACAACAGTTAGCCTTAAAGATGCCCAGAGTAACTTTTTGGTAGGAGGGTTTGCCGTTAGTTTGTCTCATGGAGATGTTATGCTTTGACTGGGATGTTATACAGTATGGCATTAAACCAACAAATCTTTTATTTATTAAATTACAGGCATTTTTATTTCTCAAAACTACAAAACTGGAGAAACAATACAGCCACTTCACAAGAGCATGTACCCACACAGACGAGAGAGCAATAGTGGACCTCAGTCTGCTGTGCATCTCCCATCTTGTAGGAAAGAGAAAAACAAACTTAAATTATCCACCAAGACAGGGAGGCAACGCCGGGTGAATTACACCATGGATCGTGGATGCCTGGACTAAGGATCAGTCTCAAATGTCGTCGTTTTTTTTTTTTTTTTTTACTTAATGCACCTTATAATCCAATGCACCTTATGTATGAAAATAGACGAGAGAATTCAACATAATTTATACTGCGCCTTATAGTCCGAAAATTGCTATTATAATTGTTTACACACATAGTTAACTCTTAGATATCTTGTGTATGTTTTGTGCAGCACACCATCAGGGCCATGGCTCTGCGAGTGCTCAAGGAGATTTTGAGAAACCAGCCGGCTCGCTTCAAGAACTACGCTGAGCTCACCATCATGAAGACACTGGAGGCCCACAAGGACTCACACAAAGAGGTACAGCGCAAATGTGGGAATTACAATGAATTATTATGATTATTTCCAAATGTATGTGCCTTTTGTTTAAAAGAGACGACAATAAATGCACTGACAGTATTTTGAATGTTAAAAAACTATAATACTTTAAAAACATAGATTTTCATGCTGACACCAGTATTTCTCATGTGTGTCGTAGGTGGTGCGTGCGGCAGAGGAGGCGGCGGTCACGTTGGCGGGCTCCATTCACCCCGAGCAGTGCATAAAGGTGCTGTGTCCCATCGTACAGACCGCAGATTACCCCATAAACCTGGCCGCCATCAAGATGCAAACCAAAGTCATCGAGCGCATCGGCAAAGAGTCTCTGGTGCAGCTGCTGCCGGACATCATCCCCGGACTCCTACAGGTAACCATGGCGATGAGAGCTAGAGTGGGCATGGTACAATATTCAGATTTGGTGGTTAAAATAATTACGATTAACGATTTTATCACGATAATTATTAAAGCTGCTGACAGTAAAAAATTTTATGGATGAATGGAATGATTAATTATACTTTACATTTTGGAATTGTACTTAAGTGAAGTGAAAATGACAGTGATCTCGAACAGGGGTCTCCAATCTTTTCTCCGTTGAGCTACCTTTACAAAACGAAAATGCCAGAGAGCTACTAGTTTCAGTGGTTACAAGAAATCTATATACAGTTAGTTGTCTATGAAACATAAACCATTATCCATTTGTTAGTGCACAAAGTTAGCCAACAAAATGACACATGTACAATGGTAATAGGCAGCACTAGGGGTGTAATGGTACACAAAAATCACGGTTCGGTACGTACCTCGGTTTTGAGGTCACGATTCGGTTCATTTTTGGTACAGTATGGGAACAAAATACAAAAACATTTGCTTGTTGTTTATTTGCGTGTGTGTGCGAGGATTCACATGGTTTGGAGGGAGGTAGTTAAGGCAGGGGGCAATTGTTATCAAGGCGGCTGCCCTAACTATAAAGCACTGTGGGAAACACTGCCACCCCAATCACGGACGAGTTCCCTCGTGAATATTAAAAAGCCGAGCCTTCCGTGTAGCTGCACATGTAGTGGCATAAACACAAATTGCGCAAACTCACTCGCGCACAGCCCTGCATTGAATCAAACGTCCCGTACCGAACCCCTTCGGCACAAATACATGTATTCCACATGTTCAGCACAATACGTATAAATCAGAAATCTCATTGCGAGCTACTTGGAAGGGGGTGGAGAGCTACAGGTTGGAGAAAATATCAAAATCAAAATACCTGCTCTAGAAGAAAATATCAGTTTTAATGAACATCAACGATATTATTGTTTATTGCTCCATCCCTACGCTAGAGTCAGAAAATATCATAATAGTCTTAAAACTGTGTTAAATATCTGGAGTTGTGTTTTGCTTCATTCACACGTTTGAGTAATCCTTTCTTATTAGTTTGTCTACGTCTCCAAACCTCAAAATGCTCTGTTCCATCTTGTGATGTCGTGTTGTGTTTTCAAATTAATAGTTAAATCAAATCAAATCATCCAAATGATTCTAGTGAAGGTGTGTAGAGTTCTAAAACACAATGGAGCACTTCCTGTATTACTACATGACATCACAAGGTGGAACAGATTGTTTTCTGAAGATAAAAAAGATTTTAAAAAATCATAATATGGGCCTTTTAAACAGTAAACTATAATTACAACTTGTCATAATAAAAGTATTTTGATTGATGAAACAGATGGCCAAACAAAATTAAGTATTAAGACTGTTTACACAAACATTAAAAAGTTGTTTTGTTTTGTTAATATTGAAAATTAAAAGTATTTTTTGTAGTATTATGAAAAGCACCCATACAGCAGGGTTTAATCTTTTGCTCGTTTTCCTTGAAAGCTCAGGACACACTATCGCCGGATCCAAAAGGGCTTATTTGGACAAAGTGCTTATTTGGACACTGGAAACCTTTGCCTTATTTGTAACCAGGGAATGTTGCGTAAATTCATACACGTAAAATTATACAATATAGTCAAAAAACTGCTAAAACGAGGAGAAATGTATGTATTTTTTAATTTACAGGGTTTTTTTGGTACTTTAACCTCAACTAAAACTTTGTACTCTCATTTTGATCATGCCTAAAAGGTCTGAAAATGAAATCATGGAGCTGTCACCATTTCCAACATTTATATTGTCCTTTTTATAACAGTTTTATATTAAATCTTTTGTCTGTGGGTTGTGCTGCTGGTTGGATCTTGGTCAGAACTTCCTTAAAAAAGAGATCTTTGAATCTCAGTGGGACTTTCCTGGTTAAGTAATGGTTAAATAAAAATGAAATGCTTTTTTTTCTGAATTGCAAAAATAGGATGTGCTAATGGTCATTGTAAAAACACAAAAAAAATACACTGTTTTCTTATGATTCGTTTTTCTGTGAATTTTGCCCATACCTTGACGTTATAGATTAAGATAAAATTGCAATAAATAAATAAATACATAACCAATAATTCTGTCAATTACATTTTTTCACTTTTTAACATTTTTTGTCCAGCTGACAGATTAAAACAGACATGTCAAACTCAGGCCCAGGGGCCAAATTTGGCTCATGATATAATTATTATTTGGCCCTCGAGATCATATCAAATATGTATTAGAGCTGCCCGCCAGCTACACATAAGCTATCGAGACATTTTTATTTTTTTTTTATTATTATTTTATATTATGCTTGTTCTGGATTCAGTGTTTAAGCAAAACTATTATTAAACATTTATTTTAAGAAGAAAAGGTTTAACATTACATATCACAAAAGAAGAGAAAACACACAGATGTTGTTGAAATTTTTCAATAAATATTTAGTTTGGCCCACGACTTCATCCCAGTTTTTAATTTTGACCCTCTGTGAATTTGAGTTTGACCCTCGTGGATTAAAAAACTTGGACGAGTGAGGGATCACACAGACAAGCTAAAATATTCACAGTAATGCATTAGAACTGTGGTAATGTTTATTTTGTACTTTTTGTTACATAAAAAATTTAGTAAAAACAGGTGATTGGGTACAGCTCCAGAAGGTCTTATTTGGTCAATCTGCTTATTTGGACAGTGGGAATTATTCGCCTTATTTGTCCCTGGAAACGTTTATCTACCATGAAAAAGGCAATGTTATTATGGCAACTGGCATTTTTTGTAGTTTACTGTAGCTGAAAAATGAAAAAGTGAAAAAATAAACAGGTCTTTGGGTACATTTTCCGCTGCAGTTTTATCTGTAACTCCAAAAGGTCTTATTTGGACAATGTGCTTATTTGGACAGTGGGAATTATTAACCTTATTTGTCCCTGGCCCTCTGGCACTCCTCCCCCTCACCTCTCCTCCTCACCTGTCCTCTCCTCCTCCTCTTCCTCCCCCTTTCCTCGCCTCTCCTCCTCCTCTCCTCCTCGCAGGGCTACGACAACACGGAGAGCAGCGTCCGGAAGGCCAGCGTGTTCTGCCTGGTGGCCATCTACTCTGTGATTGGTGAAGACCTCAAACCCCACCTGGCCCAGCTCACGGGAAGCAAGGTACCTCAGATTTTTTACCGTTTTTACAGTCAGACAGGCGCTGGGGCTTATCGGCTTCTCATGTGTCTCGACTGGTTCAAACCGGTTGGTCAATTATGTTTGGCATAATTTTGTTTTTGGTTGCATAAGGGTGGGAGAGTGGGGGGTGCAGGTCAGGTTCACGTCCACACACAGGGCTGACCAGTTATGAGGGGCGTTTAAGGTCTGGTGTTTTTAGTGTCGAAGTGGAAATTTCCAACGTGTTTTTGATGATTGAACTTAAGACTAACTAAAAAATAATGATAAAAAAGATAAATAAATAGAAAACAAAACATACAAGGGAACAGAAAAGCAGGTTTGAACTTTGTAAATATGACATGACAGCACTAAAATGTAAATACACACATGCAAACATTGTTTTTGTTTCTATGTGTGTTAGATTTATCTTTTGTTATGTTTATTTTGTTATTAATGCTGGGTCTACATACCTTTAAAATAAATACATGAATGCATAAATATTACACAACACTAGGTATGGAAACTTCTTATAACAATAATAATATTACATCTGACTTATATATAGCGCTTTTTTGGACACTCAAAGACACTTAAAGACACTTATTTAGGTATAATCTGGTGCTGAACATCTCTGTTTTTATTTACTTAATGTCTCTATATATTTCCCCTTCAAATAAAGACTAAATTAGACTAATATACAATTAATTGGCTTTAATAAAAAATAAAATGTGTTAAATATATGTGCTCTTTCCTCAATTCTCTACAATTAATGTGAGTTTTTCTTTTTGAAGGTTGACTTATGTTTGTTGTATTTTTGTATTTTTGTGTGTGTGTGTGTGTGTGTGTGTGGCCAGTTTAGATGGAACAGTAAGCATCCTAAAATAGAGGTGCAGAGTTGAGAGAGACATTCATACGCACAGACCCTGATTGGCTAATCCACCTGTCAATCATGTTGCCAATTTGAAAACAGGGAGAGTCAAAGGTGACCAGACTCACATCTTTATAAATTACAGAGTACTAAGTGTGTACTGTGGATCCCAGGCCCCAGTATACAACAGATACAGTAGACTTTCATGTAGACTTGTTTTTATTGCACTGAAAAACTACTGTGAGTGGGTTTATATCTCCACAAATCCGAGTCTTATTTGGCCAAGAGGCCTCCTTCTGCTGTTTATAATATTCCACAGAATGACGTGACTCTAGTCTGCACCCCTATTTTAGGCTGCTTATTGGTCCATCTAAACTGGCCCCACAATAATATAAAATACAACAAATATAAAATAAAAAGCAAAAATATGAAAAAGTGAACATTCAAAAAGGAATCTAGATTTAATAGGATAGGCAATACACTACCGGTCAAAAGTTTTAGAACACACACATTTTTCCATTTCTTTTTTGCAATTCAAGTCGTACAAGTCCAATGAAGAGCTTGAAATGGTACAAAGGTAAGAACTGAACAGCCAGAGGTTTAAAAAAAAAAGATAAAATATAACACAAGTCCAAGCTCTGCCAAAACTACCTCAGGAAAAAGAACAAGATGGTAAAGCTTGAAAACATGGAGTGTCCAGCACAGTGTCCAGACTTAAACCCCATCGAGCTGGTTTGGGATGAACTGGACAGAAGAGTGAAAGTCAAGAAACCTACAAGTGCCACACATTTATGGGAACTTCTGCAACAGACTTGGAAGAACTTTCTGAAGAATATTTGATTTCTATTGTAAAAAGAACGAGCCACGAGTGTGTTCAGCTGTTACATCTGCCAAAGGTGGACACGTTCATCAATCTAAAGTTTAGAATATGTCTTTGTCAACAGTAAACTGGAAAAAAAAACTGGAAAAAGTGTGGTGTTCTAAAACTTTTGACTGGTAGTTTATATAAGCATATCTTCAGCCTATTCCTTTTTTTGGTAAAAAAAAAAAAATAAAAATCTATATTTATACTATATAAATTATGTACATTTAATTGTTGAAAAATATATAAAAATAAAAAAAAATACTCAAGATTATGATGTTTGAATAACTATGTAATATGTTTGTTTTTGTTTTCCTCAGATGAAACTTCTAAACCTGTACATCAAGCGAGCACAGACGACCAACAGCAACAGCAGCAGCTCCTCAGACGTGTCCTCTCACAGCTAATGAACCAGCCCGGAGTCTACAGGAGCCTACGGGTGCCAGTCTCCTTTACAATCACCCACCCACCACTTCCGAGGGCACCCTACGTCCTTCCTCCCACTCTCCCCTCTCTCCACTCTTCTAGAATCGTCTGAATGTAACTCTGAAATGGCTCTAGACCCGTGGGAGGACGACGACAACGACGAAGATGTGCAATGTCTTTCGTTTCAGCGCTGGAATGAAGAACGACGGTCTCTGATTTTACGAACGGGGCGATTTTGGGATCAATTGTCATTTGGCTGGACCAGTGAGGGTATATATATGTACAACGCAGTGAAATTTTGAGAGCATAAAACCAAAAATGTCAAGGGAACAATGTGAAAATGACATTACTGTACGAGCGGATTCGTTAAGTTCAACTTCAACATATATCGGAAACTTTTGCATTGATTGTAGTCGAGATTTGAGTGCTAAATATTGTGAAAAACAGCTTCTAAATTGACAATCCTACAACTCCGTGAGAAAAATATTGCGTAAAAGTTAAATTAATCAACAAAACAAAACGCACTCTTGGACTTAAGCTTGAAAATTTCTCTTCACGATGCTTCTCCTCGGCGTCCTTCTTATTGTAAATCCGCAAGGCTGTACGTAAGTAACTATGACAACTGACTGATTTTTTCTTTCGTTTTTTTTTTTTTTTTTTTGTAAATAGCTTTCATTTTTTTACGCTTGGAGTCGGGAGCGAAACCAGCAATCCGAAGTGAAAGATGAAAAAACCTGGCCTTATCCGCGTTACCGTCTGGATTCTGATTATGTGGATGTACAGCACTGTTACTCTCGGCTTAAATGTGAAAAAAAAAACACTATTCCAGTATTAGTTGCTCCCGAATCGGACTTCCTCTGCAATAACCCCACCACAAACATATATATACGTTTTGTACATACACTTTTGGACCACGGCTACGCTGTTAGCAGAGTAGTTTGCATGTGCCCATAGCAACAAGGTGGTAAAAGTGCACTTGTAACGTCTAATTAAGTTGTAAGGCTTATTAAAGGTTCATTGTGTAACTTTTCTCGTGGAGGGTCCGTCAAACGCTTCAGATGTTATTGTTTTGTCTGGAATGTTTTACAGTATTATGGAAGATAATTTTTCCATCAGATTTAGAATTTTTTTTTAAAAGAATTGAATTATTTTTATTCTGAATTTGGGTTGCTGAAATTTTAAGTATACTTTTTCCAATATATTTCAAATAAATTCGAAATAAATAAAAAAAATCACCTTTTAAACATTCAGCACAGATATTTTCAAGCCCTCAAATTCAAAAGTTACAATTCAGAGTGTAAAATTTGCAGTGAAAAATTCCATAGCAAAGATCCAATATGCCAAGGCAGAAGCAATCGATTATGTGTGAGTGAGGAGGACAGAGGCTGTTTCCTATTGGCTGTTCTCATCTGTGGGCGGGGTTTAAAAGAGATGGTTTTGATGAGGCTAATTCTGACCAATCAGATTGCTTCACTGCATCATTTTCTGCTTGTTACTACACTTTGGATCGATTGCTTCTGTCTTGGCATTTTGGGTCTTTCCTGTGAATTGTTTTCACTGCGAATTTTACGCTCTGAATTTTGACTGTTGTATTTGAAGGCTTGAAAATATTTGTGCTGAATATTTAAAAGGTTTTTTTTTTTAACACTTTGAAAATGTACAAATGATCCTCCATACAGTATGACATTAAACCTTCCTATCATCATAGTTACACAAGTTACAGGTCAGATCTGCGGAGAGGCGACCCCGCTCACTGTCAGAATTCATGTTTTTGTAGGTATTTTTGAGCCATAAAACCACCTATAATTGAATAAATATAAGATATAGCTGATTAATGTCATACTGTGGAACATTCCAGGCCGGAGAAACAAGCGGGTGACGTAGCCTCCACCAGAAAAGTTACACAATGCGGCTTTAATGTTGTTTTCCGCCTGGGAACAAATTCAGAATTTGACCAAGGTTTGGACGAGATAAGATGGTAGAATTATACTTTATGAATTGTAATAATAAGTCGCCTAATTTCAATGTTATGTATGAATGATAATGAATTTTAGCAGGGCAATTTGTTGAATAAAGAGCTAGCTTTATGCGTGGAGAAATGTTTTCAGTGTTTGCTCTTTTTAATATTTAAAAATACACACAAAATACTGAAATTTTACATATTACTAAGTATGTAAATCAGCCTTAATTCCTGATGAAATGTATCTAAAAAAAACAAAAAATATCTTTACTGTAAATTTGGCCGTCCTGTTAGCCGTGCTAGCGTCAAAATGCTGAGTCATTATCGTAGCATGCTAGCAGCCTCAAGCTAGCCGCCTTCTAGACAATATTTGAAAGATTTAAAATAATATAAAGACCATTGCTTTTTTTTTGTAATGTTCTAAGCATCTTTATCTAACTTATTAATCATTTTAAAATTTGGAACTTAGCCTTGGGTGACCAGAATTTCAAAATAAAAAACTAGGACAGACCTGTTTTTTTGTGGTTGCTAATAATAAAAATTGCTAAACGAATGCCTAATTAAGTAAAATTGTTACGCAGAGACTGTTCACGACTAACATGTGAGTCACTATAGTCACATTTTCTTTGTGTTTTGGTCGTTTTTAATCTGATTTTTTTGTATTTTACCTAAACAAATCACAATGTTTGCCTCTTTTTACTGTTAGCAGGGATCAAATTGGTCAAAAATAGGGACACCTGGGACATTTTTTGTATAAAACTAAGACAAATCACTTGTTTTGGATCAATCCACTGGGACTGGGGACACAAGGCTCTAAATTGGGACTGTCCCGGGTAAATAACGACGGTCTGGTCACCCTAAACTTAGCTTGAGAGCGGCTACAGCGCTACAATGCCAACAATTTAATGTTTTGAAGATGTTTTAGTGGTTCACCTCGAAAAAAAAAAATCACTTCTGAACTTCTTGAATGATTATATATCTTGAATGTTAAGTTTAATGTCTAAAAAATAGCGTATTATTAACAAGAACATCACTACTTTAAAGCTGCACTGTGTAACTTTTCTCCGGGTCCTCAACCTGTTTGTCTCCATGGAGATGTTAATGCTTTGGTTTAAATTGTCCGCAGTATGGCATTAAACCAATCTGTCGTACATTTATTCAACTACGGGTGTAATTTATCGCTCAAAAATATCTTAAAAACTTGAATTCTTCGTGTGAGTGGGGTCGCCTCTCCACAGATCTAACTTGTAATTTGTCTTGGAAGCCTCCGTAGAGATTTTTGAAGTTATGGCAATACTGTTTAACATTCTTGGCACATCTCCACGGAGACAGAGGACAAGCTACACAGTGTATCTCTAAAATCAGATTAGCATGCTAGTTAAACTACTAGTGTATTTTAATTTTGTTCACAACTGAATGTCACAAAAATGCACAAATTGCCCTGTTAAAACTGTCTTGTGATTTACGTCCTTCATGTTTAGGCTCATTTATTTTGTAGTTTATAAAAATTATTTATTATTTTAAAATTTCTGTTCATTTGCTGACTTGAAGCAAATTTCTTATAATGAAAGTATTACTGTTTGTATCTCTGTCGGTTTATGTTATAAAGAAGACGTTTTGGGTTTTATCTGAATGGGCCAAACTGCTTATTTAAGTTAAAGAATGTAAAAATGTACTATTTTAAAGTTGTTTTGGTCTTGGTACTGGAGTATGTTGTATTCTTGTTGCTCCTTTTGACTGTTTCCCTTTAAGCGTCTCACAAAGCCTTGTCTCATGAACAAAATGGACGCTTCAAACCGCTGGATCCTGGAAGCAAAAACGATGTCCACTATGCATGTCCTTCTTTTGTCTTAACCGCTCATGTAATATTCCTCTGTATTTATATATTTTATTTGGTCTCCTCCTGATAAGACTGTACAGACATTTTCTTTTGTTAACACCCACCTGTGGTAGGTTTGCAACGATGTAAAAATCAAATGTTTGCTCTAGAAATAAACAGACCAAGTTGATGGTTCTTCAGTGGTGTTATTACATTTAAGCAGAAATTTTTGTTTATTGTCACCATTTACTCACCCAAAGTTGTATTTTTTGGAGTGATTAATGCGTGTTTAAGCAATTTTTAATCACTTATTTTCAAGTAGAAGTGTTCAAAAATATCAAATTATCAACATATCGTGTCGTTTAATTGATATCGCGGTCTGCTGTATCGATATATCGCCAAGAGTATTTTTTTGGTATATTTTACTAAATTATTTTGTTTATAGCGCTACAGTTTTGTTGCTTGTTTAGTAGACGGAAACTCATTTATGTGACACATTTCACATTTTCACTGTTTTGAGGATTAAAATGTTTGTGTTTCATATGAACTTTTGCACAAAGAAGTGGTTTAAAAATTTTTAGTATTGAACCATGATTTAGCTTTTGAATCGATTCGAAATATGTCGTATCGAATCGAAAGTGCACTGTATTGAGACATGTATTGTATTGTGGCCTATGTATCGTATCGGCAACTTCTTAATGATACTCAGCCCTATTTTCAAGACGCCATTTCACTGTTTTCACTGCCACTGCTACACGCCCGCTGCTCTGTACTTACCGCGTTCTACAGTTTTATTTTCTTAATCGGTGATATGTGGAGGATTCTGCAGAGTTGTGTTAGTCATTTTGGTTCATATGAAACAAATTTGCTAGTCATCAGCCAGTTTCAATTCGTGGAAACTGTCTGACCTTGCAGTGTTAGATTTTGTTCGCTCGACGGTAGGCGGGTACTTTTTATCATTTACCCAATCGCTGCTGTTTGGTTGTGACGTATGTCATGTGCCGCTAAAGAGGCTAACTGGTATATTAAGCTTTTCCCAAATCCCGTAGGAAGAAGGACAATAACATCTTTCCCCTTGATAAAATTCACTAAACATTCTCTTTGTTCCAGCTTTAAATTCCTCAATCTCAGGAATCGTTGCCAACACAGAATGTATGGCTCTTCGCTGATTGGCTGGTGCCCGAACTCGCACTTTCGGGGTTTTTGCAGACCGTCTAATGTATTCCGATTCCTGATCTAGTCGCTGGAGAGAAATGAAATTGAGGGGAGGCACTAGGTGGCGCCAGCCTGGCTACAAATCTGCTGCTTGCTAGTGTGATGTGCAGATGTCCAAAGGAGGAGCTGTGTTTGATTATCTTCCGACTCCCACTTGGACCTCGGATTTAAAATCACATCCAAGCTTGAAGTGTAATATTATGTTCCGCATGTCGGACTATGTGGATTATGATTATGACTATTCCCTCATCTTATGAAAACACTGCCACTTTAATTAATGTAATTTTGCACTTCATTTTATGTTATGATTTCTTCTTTCATTACAACCTTAGGGACGTTAATGCTCGTTAATTCAAGTATTTGTTCAGTATTGTCCTCGCCACAACACCAACTACCAAACCCACAGGTAGTGATTCGGTAATGTACTGCAGGAATACGAGTGACTGAAATTGTCATTTAAACCACCAAAGTGTCCAAACACAATGAAAACAGTTCATATTTACAGGTCACAGTGGGTGCAGTCATCTTGGATCCTGACTCGGAATCCTTGCTCAGTCTACTTTTTCCGCCACCGAGGTCCGAGTCGCGCCGTCCCAGGAAATGGGGCGTGTCACGTGTGTCGTTGGCAACTTCCTCGGAAAACCGGTTAGGAAAGATAATCAAACACAGTGTGACTCTTTTTTGTGATGAAGTTTAGGGCGACGTCAACTCCGATTGGGCACCACTGTTTTCTAACGTGGAAGTCAGCTCAGCTCAGACTTGTTTCTTGTTCTCTTAAGTCGTTTTAGATAAATAATATTGCGATTTAAAATGTGTAAACTGTGTGTGTGGTTTTGTGTGTTTGTGTTTCTGAAGTCATTATTCTTCCCTGATGAGTGAGAGGCTGCCAGTCTGCACCATGTATCGGACTCTTCAATCACCACAAATCATTAAAGCCCAGATTATGGTCGTGCAACAAATCATCTTCGTTACCTTGAACTCCCCTCTGCCAACTGACGTGCACCTCAGAAATATTCTAACTATGTGTCGAAACAAAGCAGACAGCGGGGGAATCGACATGGACAATAACGGCTGGGATTGGTCCTTTCTAACCACCGCTCTACACACATTTCAGGTACTCCGCTTTTCTGCTTCATTTTGTAAACACATGAAAATGTTTACACATTTTGTAAACAACACCAGTTTTAAATCCTTGCCTCCTAGTGTTGTGGCGGTGAATTACTTTTGCAGTGTACAGACCTCGACGGAGATCCATAAATCAAAAACAACTACAACAAGATGCGGTTGAGTCGACACAGAACTATAATCCGGCCTTAACAAAACACATTCATACAGTAGAGGTGGGTGAAGTGTTTTGCTGAAAGACACAATGGCACAATGCACCAATTCCTCCTTTTACATCAAACATTTTAATCTATATTTTAATCTTAATCATATGAAATTTCAAATGTCTGTATTTTAAGTTGCAGTCTGCCACCTGCTTGTCTCTATGGCAATGACATTGATTTTTGGATGTTTCACAGTATTTATTAATCCCATCAGGTCAAGTTACAGGTCAGATCTGTGAAGACGCCACATAACTCACGGTAAGAATGCATGTTTTTCAAGATTATTTTGAGCAATAAAATTTAAAGCGCCCATTTCATGCAATTATCTGATCTTGTTATAAAGTTGTTTTCCTCATCACAACAGACGTGAAGTTGTCTTTAACAGAAACATACCCTTATTGAAAAATGTAAAAATGGGCAAGGTACAAACCCGAGGCACTCTGACTGAATATATTAAAAGTCCTTTAGGGTACGAACAAACGGGATGAAAACCATCTTGAAACGTGTTGCCGTCTCTTCACGCAATAAAGGACTTTTAACATTCTCAGTCGAGTGCCTCGGGTTTGAACATTGCCCACTTTTATATTTTTCTGTAAGGGTTAGTTTCTGTTTAAGACAACTAGTTTAACTCTCATAGAGCACCTGTACTGCCATTTTTTAACTCCTTTTATGACCCAGTGAAGCGCTCTACCTCTTTTCTTCATCTGACATACACCTGAAGTTGTGTTTTGTTTCATTCACACCCTGCATATTTAGGCTTTAGAGCAGGGATGTCCAAACTTTTTTCATCAAGGGCCACATATCTAAACACAGATGGAGCAGACGGTTGTTGGAGGGTCATAGACTGATGCTCAATACAGTGAATCATTTAAATATGTGCATGTTTAACACATTAAAATGAGCCATCAGACTTTATTCATGCTAAGATCCTTAAAAAAACACACACTAAATATCAAATATTAGCTTAGATTTTAAAAACACTTGCAGTAAAAAGTTAATATTTAATTGATGCAAGATCATTTGCAATTCACCTGGAAGCCTGAGGACCAAGAAAAATTTGTCTGAGAGGCCATAGTTTGGACATGCCTGCTTTATTTAGAGTTCTTCTCTCAAACAGAAAACACCCTGGAATTGCTACTTTCTACTGAACAAAATGTAAAAGTTAGCTGTTAATTTGAAAACTACCACTTCATGAGATCACAAAATGGAACAGAGCATTTTGAGCTTTGAGCTTACTAAGTGTCAAACAATCTCCAAACTCAAATTTTGAGCTTTGGAGACGTAGACAGACAAATAATAAAGTATTTGAATGAAACAAAACACAACTCCAGGTCTGGAGTTGGGTGTACATATAGGGCGGACTAAAAGGAGACTCAAGGATCGCTTTTGTGAACATAAAAACGCTATCAAAACAAAAAATCTGAATTACCCAATGGCCTTACATTTTTAATCTTCCACTCAATGTAAAGTCAGTCTTTTAAAAGTCATGGTAATTGAGGTCGTCCCTGCAGATATCAGAGGGGGCGACAGATTGTAACCTTAAAGGCAACACAACATCCGGGCCTCAATGATGATTTGGATTATTCCATGTTTCTCTGAAAGTTCACTTTTTGGGTGATCTCTTATTGTAAATGATATTTTTGTACTTGTGATAGTCAGTTGTTTATGTATTTCATATGTGATGGACACGCCTACTTTCCTCCAACATGTCTCGTTTTTCTTGTTGTTGTTTGGTGGGGCTGCTTATCACTTATGTTCCTCGTGGTTGGCCAACCTTTTGTTTTGGGGTTTGCTCGCTGTCTTTTTTTTCCTGCTGTCATGTTGTTAGGTTTATCTAAACATTGTAAACAAGAAGAAAGACAAGAGATTAATTCAGTTTTACTCGCGAGGAGAACGGGCAGAGAGTGGGCATCAAAACCAACAGTCTCCACACGTTCTGATGACTCAAGGCCGTTCTCCTCTTTTTATTTCATTAGGAGGCCCTAGTTACAGAATGATAATTCTCAAGGGGAAGGGGAAACAGCAAAGACATAATAAGAAACTGATGAAGCTATGCATAGTATAAACATATAAAACATGATTAACAATCAGGAGGTGCCTAAGGTTTGGTCAGACACCATCATAACTCTTGCATGTGTGACAGTGGGAGTTGGCTTCATGTGAGGAATCATCTCGAGGTTCACTAGAGCGATAGGACACTGCACACAGTTGTCAAACACAAAGAGGTTATTCATTTTCATACAAGTGATTGGTACATTATAAATCAAAGAATTGTAATTACGTAAATGGTTAACTCATAGGCATAGAATATCACACAAGTATTTAGCAAATATGAGATAATAAAATTATTCTGACACATGTGATGTTGTTATGTGATTAATTGATTGTATTTATTGACACCCAGTGTGTCTTGTTTTTACTACTTTGCCCTGATGAAGACCATCTTCCTGGTTCCGTCCCTTCATGTAATAAAGGACTTTTAATATACTCAGTCGGAGTGCCTCGGGTTTGTACCTTACCCATTTTTACATTTTCCTGTAAGGGTAATTTTCTGTTCTAAGACAACTCCAGGTCTGTTTTGAGGAGGTAAAGCTCACAAGAGTCATTTTTTTGCGTAATATAGGACCTTTTAATCATATTTTCTACAGTGTCAATGTGCTTGAGCTTTACACAAATAGTCATCATCACAAATAAATTCAGTTTGTTCTTGTAGCGCTTCTTGAGAAACCATAAAGTTATATAATGATTGGTTCTGATTGTGTCTTGTCTGTGCTCTTGTGTAGGTCGACCTTTTGAGCTCTGTCGCTGTACAGGTGTCCATCCGTGTCCAGGCACATGTGTCCGGCCGGAGGAGCCCTTATCCCCCCCCGCTGTAAACATTAACCACAGCCCACTTTGACATGAGCCAGCTCTGCTCCGTGAACCACTGAGAAACACGGGAGGACATGCAGCTGCCTCTGTTTGGTCAGGTGACTTCGCTGTGCCTGCTTTTTGAACCAGGCTCCCAGGTCCAAGCTCATACACAGGAGTTTTGTGTCATTGCCGTACAGTAGTTGGCGCGCGAATTCTTAAACGTCCTGCTCCTGTATTGCACGAAATATGATTCTTGTGAGCTTTAAGCCATGTTAGAATATTGTTACATCCACAAAAACAGACCTGGAATTGTGTTTTGTTTCATTCACACGTGTTTGTGTAATAGGAATGTGACGAAATCCAAATCTTTTTGTACGATATTTTCACGATGTGCATCTCACGTACAATATTTATCGCGGTATTTTTATTTTACAAAACTCACAGTTTTTGCTACTTATGCTACTTTTTAAATATAGAGATTGTAGAACAGTTGGATATAGAGTTTATTTTGGAGACATTTATGTTTTTCTGTTCCTTATTTCATGTTCAAAGTATATTTTATTCATTTTAATGTTTTATACATCGCAAAACTGCTCTAAGGTTCATATTTGTAGCCTATATTTATTTTCAATTTGAAAGTTTTGCATAAATTATCAATAACAAAAGTGTTTTTTGTGCTGAACAAGTGTATCGTGTAACTAAAAAATAATCGTTTCAATAATCGTGATTTCAATATTGACCAAAATAATCGTGATAATGATTTTTTCCATAATCGAGCAGCTCTACTATGTTTTTTTTAAAGCTATTGCTGCACCCAAACTATTGATTTAAGCAAAGAAACTTGTGTTTGCAATATATTGTGACAGCCCACGATATTATTGTGAGACTTTTGGCGATACCATATCACGATATTTTGATTATTGTTAGATCCGTAATGTCCAAAGCACAAATGCTCTGTTCTACCTTGTGATGTCATGTAGTGGTAGTTTTCAAGTTAACAGCTCCTTTTACCTTTTATTCAACAGAGACGGGCGCTCTGCTCAACCAGTGATACGAGCAGAAAGAGGCATTACCTTCAACAACCTCTCTCTGGATTGGCTCTTTGGTTGCTATGATGCTCATGGTCGGAATTCCAAATATGGAATTGGGCTCCAAATTCGCCTCTGTAACTGCAAGCCTCGATGAGCTTCATTTGACTGGACCAATATTTGTTTATCTTTTTACTCTTTACACCCGTTTTGGCAGGAAAAAAGTAAGTGCAAACTAATTACTCTGTTGATTTTATTTTGAAATTCCTTCAGGATTACTAAAGTGTCGATCTATCTTTAAATTGTAACTTACATTCATACGTTCCTTGAAAAGCCATCTGAATAATTCCTTTGTAAACAGTTGCTGCTCATAACTGTGGACAATAAACTGTCAGTGTTGACATTTTGACATGGTTTTTATGCTTTTATCTCTGTAATCTCTGGGCCTGTCCACACAAAACTAAAACATGCCAGTCTTAAACATATGTTTTGTCAGCGCAAAGAAATGAACTAAAGAGAAATAGTTACCAAAAGTGGCATTATTCAGTAACAAAAGTGTGATTGTTTTCATGTGAAAGAACTTTAAGCAATTTGTTTAATTTGGTTTTATATGGATTTTCAGTTCTGTTCCTGCTCTCCGTGTGAAATTATTACATCAGTTTTGACATTATAAATAACAACATCTGATAAATTACTGGTCACCACGAACACCGGCCACAGTTCTGAAGATGTTTGTAGCTCGCAGCCCAACACATGTTGACAAGGTAAACACATCTACTGTACTGTCTTTAAAAAGAAACCAAGAAGTTAATTTTTTACGTTGGCTGTGGTTAAATGTACACTCGAAAGGTAAATACTCTTAAAGGTCCAGAAGTCAGATTATAATCAGATTTTGATGCGCATATGAAAAAGGCCAAAGTTATGAATGCAAGATAAACTTCTCCCTGAATGAAAGTTTGTGACAACAGAACTTTACACAATACCTTTAATATAGTAGTATTATTTTTTTTATTATTGTTATCCCATGAGTCAGATTTAAAGGTGCACTATGTGACTTTTCACTTGCTTGTTTCTATGGATATGTCACTGCTCTGCCTGGAATGTTCCACAGTGTGACATTAAACAGTTTTACCTTACATTTATTCAATTACAGGTGATTTTATAGCTCAAAAATATCTAGAAAAACAACATTCTGACTGTGAGTGGAGTCGCCTCTCCACAGATCTGACCTGTAACTTGGTTTGGTTTGGTCTTAGTGAAGATAGAAAGGTTTAATATCACCTGAAATTTACACGTGACATAGGCAGAGCTGCATACACACGTGACTCCTCCTCTGTGGATTCTCACGTTTAAACACTAAACTTTTAAAATTGTTTGTGTATTCATTGTTGATTGGGTGAATTATGTTTTAAATCAATACAAACGTTGACAAGAGAGACGATGCTTTCCAACAATAACGAGCCGTATCTTTATTTATTTATTTCATTCATAAAGTATAAAAAGACTTGCCTGATTCATCAGACGGTTTCACTTCATGGAAACAGTCTGACCTCGCAGTGTTAGAATTCGTTCACTCGACAGTAGGCGGGTACTTTTTATCATTTAACTGCTGGTGTAAACTGTCCAACCAGTTAAAATGGAAAGCGATACCTGCGTGTGTTCTGCATGTACCGTATTTTTCAGACTATAAGTTGCACCAGCTAAAGAATGCGTAATGACGAAGAAAAAAATAATACATAGGTCGCTCCGGACTATAAGCTGCACTTTTTGGGGGAAATTTATTTTATAAAATCAGAGACCAGGAACCGACATTTCATCTTGAAAGGCAAATTATAATAATTACAATAGAACAGAGAACAACAGACTGTTAACATCACATATGAACAGTTCTTTAGATAACTATAGCATAAACAACAGAACAGAACAAGTTTACCAAACTCTCCATCTCACTCCAAATCACTAAATCCATTAAATTCTTCATCCTCAGTGTCACTTCTGAGCAACTCCGTGACCTCCGGAGGTAAACGGAGCGCTGCTGTCGTCAGACTCAGCATCAGTTCCAGTTAGAATTATTCCGGCCATTCTGAATCCCGACAGGATGGTTTCGGTGTCACTGAAGTTCAGGCTTTGTCGATCCGTCCAGTGACTTCCAGGAAAGTTGCATGGTGCACCCTCTCGGTTCCCGTGAAGCTGTGTTCTCCATCCCCGCTTTCCGTCAGTCCTTCACAAGTTTCTCGCTCACTCCAGACTTTATTTCTGCTTCTCGATTAATGTTTTTGGCTGCATATTTCACTACTTGCAGCAGGATAGCGTTTTTGTTTTTTTTATGTGCAGGAGGCATATGCAGTAGAGTGCGAAATGACAGTGATAGTGGCATACAAGCCTAGAGTGCTCTCTCGTGTGTAAAAATTTTAATATATAAGTCGCAGGAAGCACCCAAACCATGAAAAAAAGTGTGACGTATAGTCCGAAAAATACGGTATGTGAGTTTATGTGAGGCCATATTGTGAAACATTCCAGACAAAGCAGTAACATCTCAAGACGAAAAGCTTTTGACCGACCCACCACCAGAAAGTTAAACATTGCACCTTTAATTAAAAAAATACTCTTAACTTCTGTAATTTTCCAAACCTACTTTTCAAATTTACTACCGTCCACTGACATGCAACACTGCCCCCATGTGAACGACACACAACACTGCCCTCCCGTGAAAGCCAATAAACCTCGTTCTATTTACACTCTCTCTTGTCTTATCTCATCTCACATGCTATTGTCTCAAATCACTCCAAACATCATTATGCTATAGAGTTTAAAGTCTAGCGTAAGGCGTTCTGTTGACAATGTAAACACGGGCTGGAGTGTGACTACTATTAATACAAAACCCCGTGAGGCTGTCGAGGGGGGCGGGGCTTCCCAGAGGTCGATAGAGGTATGATCATTTCTGACGACATCACACGGACGCCTATAAAACGGAGCTCGCCGCGTGTTGTCTCTTCAAACTTCTCCAGACTCAGCAGAAGGACCGCACCTGTCTCTCTCTCTCTCTCTCACTCTCCGTACCTGTCTCTCCGCTCGCTCCCGGGACTCCAGACGACGCCAAAAACATGCTCTTCTGCCATTCCCAGCCGGAGTCTTTCCACCAGCACTCCGCTAGTTACATTAGGTAAAGCAGCACCCAGTTTTAGAAATCAGAACACAGAGAACACAGACACTAGGCACACAGAAAAAAATGTTCTCAATCAGGACATTTTTCTGATATTATTTTCAGCTAAATTATTTCACTGTACATTATGATGGATTCTCACAAATTGCTTTCCAAATTTTGCTTTTGTTGTTGTTGTTTTAATTCAAAGCAAAGCTACTTTTTCAAATTCTCAAATTGATGGTTTTCTTTGTTTTGGTTAATTATACATTTTGGATTTTGAAATTTAAAGCAAAATCTTTAGTTTATTGAAATTTTGTAGTGAGTTTCAAATCAAAGCTATTACTTTCTCAAATTCTGAAATATCCAGTTGATGGTTTTCTTAATTTTGGTTGATTAAAAAAAGCATATTTGAATGTTTTGTTTAAATATTCGTTTCAAAGCAGAACTACTTTGTCAAATTCTCATATATCTCATTGATGGTTTTCTTTGTTTTAGTTAATTAATAAGGTGCATTTTGCAAAATCTGCCCTAAACACTTTTTTTTTTTTTTTTGGCTTTCATAACACCTTTATTTTAGGTTGTGTCACCGGGTTATCACAACGCAAACTTCACTAAGTCAACAAACCTACATTTTAACATGCTTTTAGTGGAGGCTCAAATTCATTCACTGCAAAAAATATACGGATCGTTTAGTAAAAGAAAATGTAATTATTTCTTTTTTTTCCATATATGTCAATGTTATGTCATCTATACAGCTCAATAAAAGCTTTAATTAAACTTACTGTTTTTAACCTAGTTTTAAATCATAGACTGTATATATAAATGGACATAGCTAAAAGGCTAAATGCCACGTTCCAGATAGGAAGTGAGCATGGGCGCTCTTCCGACTCCACTGAGTCTGGCTCCAATTCACTTTCAATTGAAAAAATGTTCTTCCTTTCTATCTATTTTTACTACTTTCTACATTTGATATATCATCCAGTTCGGGTCCTGAGAGCTTGAGAGTTCTGCGCAGTATCTTTGCTGTTCCTAGTACCGCGATTTTCTGGACTGAAATGTCTGTTGTTTTTCCTGGGATCTGCTGTAGCAACTCCTCCAGTTTTGTTTTTTTGTTTTTTTAAATGCCAGCCTCGTTTTCATGTAGTCCATTTTGTGACAGGCGCAATTTCAGCTCTAGTGTTAAATTTGACTTGGTTCCATATCCAGAAATATTAGTTTTGGAGGTGTTAGTAATCTGGCAAAGTTTCATGCTTGTACCATAAAAGTTAACTATTTTGGTCCTTAACAGCTCCACTACATCCAGCTTGGGTCGGCTACCAGAGGCTTTGGAGCTTTAGAGTTCTGCTCAGTATCTTTGCTGTTCCTAGTACTGCACTTTTCTGGCCTGAGATGTCTGTTGTTTATCCTGGTATTTGCTGTAGCCACTCTTCCAGTTTGGGGGTTACAGCCCCAAGTGCTTCGATCACCACAGGCACCACTGATACCTTCACCTTACAGGCGTTCTCCAGCTCCTCCTTGAGGCCCTGGTATTTGTCTAGTTTCTCAAGTTCCACCACAGCTCTGCTCTGTTTCTTATCCACCACCACTTTGTCTGGTTGGTTCACCATCACCAGTCTGTCAGTCTGTATCTGGAAGTCCCACAAGATCTTGGCTCGGTCATTCTCCACAACCTTAGGACATGTTTCCCACCTTGACTTTGGGGTCTCCAGCCTGAACTCTGCACAGATGTTTCTGTACATTATGCCTGCCACTTGGTTATGTCGCTCCATGTTTGCTTTCCCTGCAGCATCTTACTCCCTGCAGTTTTGTGCTGAACTGTCTCAGGAGCCTCTTTGCACAGCCTACACCGTGGGTCTTGTCTGGTGGGGTAGATTTGGGCCTCTATTGCTCGGGTGCTCAGGGCCTGCTCTTGGGCATTACTTTTTTATTTATTTACTACATAATTCCAGATATATTGCGTCATATATTTGATGTCTAATTATAGCAGATAGTGGAGGGTGAGTGTACTATTATGTTAGTTTACTATTATGTCCAAGTTATGCAAGCCCAGGCCTTTGTACTGTGGATTAAAAGGTTAGATAAGAGCTGGCCTGCCTTCCTTGATCACTGGTTGTTAACAGATCACTTGTATATTTCAGAGAGGCGCTGGCACCGTTCCTAAAAAACGAGGAAGCGCGTCTGATGGCGGAGAGCGGCGGGGTGAGGAGGAGCCCGTTCCAGTACGTTCTGTGTGCAGCCACGTCTCCGGCCGTGAAACAGACCGAAGAGACCCTCACTTACCTCAACCAAGGTACTCCCCGCAGACACTGACCCCTGCAGCAGAGCTCGTGTTGGCAATGAGTACCAGCTGGGGTTTTTAGTTTAGAGAGATGAATGGATGGGTGGATAAATGGATAGATAGAAGAGAGCCTCACTTACCTCAATCAACGTGCCAAGGCCAATTTGTGAATGAGTGCCAGCGGGTTTGTTTGGGTTTAGCGATAGATGGTGGTAGAAAGAAAGAAAAATAGATACAGTAGACAATTTGGAGCTCCCACAGATAAACACTATTGTTGTGTCCTTGGTCAAGACATTTAACCCACCTCACCCCCTTTGTCTGCATACACTGGTGCATGAATGAGTGGGTTCTTGACGTAAAGCAGTTTGAGTTAACCTGATTTATCGGTTGGTTTCACTTCGTAGAAACCGTCTGACCTAGCAGTGTTAGAGATTGTTCGCTCAACAGTAGGCGGGTACTTTCTGTCATTTAACCAATCGATGCTATTCGGTCGTGAAGTATGTAATGGTATATTAAGCTTTTCCCAAATCCTGTAGGAAGAAGGACAATAACGTCTTTCCCCTTGATAAAATTCACCAAACATTCTCTTTGTTCCGGCTTTAAATCCTCGATCTTGGGAATCGTTGCCAACACAGAATGTATGAATTTTCGCTGATTGGCCGGTGCCCGAACTCGCACTTCCGGGGTTTTTGTGAACTGTCTAGTGTATTCCATCTCCTGACCTAGTCGCTGGAGAGAAATGAAATTGAGCGGCGGCACTAGGTGGCGCCAGCCTGGCTAAGTTTGAGTGCCTTAAAGATGGAAAAATGCAATGTAAAAATGTGACCACGATGTCTTTGAACTCTTAATATTTGATTTTTCCGAAGTCTAAGGGAAAAATTAATGGAAAATTTACTTCCAGAACCTGAGCGAGTGGTAGATGACTATTCTTTCTTTGTGTCAGAAGGGCCTATGATTTTCAGCAGTTGAAGCAGTAGTTGTCATGGTAGTAGCAGTAGTTGTAGTAGTAGATGTACTTCTGCAGTTGAAGTAATGTACTGTTATGCAAATTCAACTTGAGGTTAGCGATGAGCCAAAAAAAGGTTGTGTTGATGTTCTGGTATTTTATTTTGTTATAATTTCAGATGGAGGCAGGAACCTGTTTGATTCTATTGGAGATTCACTACTAGTTTTGGTAGAAAAATACAAATAACCCACAAACTCTACTTTGAGCCCTAATTATTAGTTAATACTTGGCTCCACAAACATCACATTTTAATCTCATGTTTAAAATTTTTCATAATTTTGAGACTGAATAATGGTGTCACTTTCTGAATGTACTGTGAAAAAGAAAACTGTCACCAGGCCCTATAATTACAGAAACATTAACCATAAACAAAGTCAGCAAATCTGCAGTCTGACACATAAACCAACCCTGGTTGAATGAACCTGGTATAATTCTAAGATACACAACTATTACTGAAAATGTAATAGTTGGTGTTATAAGAATGAAACTGATTGATAAACATGATTCAGAGCTGGTATTTGTCTCTCAACACGACCTCTGAAACTCTTTTTCCTGTCATCTTTTTATTCCTTCTGCATTTTCTTTGATCAGTTTATAATCTTTTATCTTGACAGACAGTTCATTCACACACACTTAAAGGTGCATTGTGTAACTTTTCTGGCAGAGGGTCCGTTAAATGCTTTTCTTTATAGAGATGTTATTGCTCTGTCCGGTTTCACACCTTTCTATCTTCATGGTGACCAAACCAGGACAAGTTACGGGTCAGATCTGTGGAGAGACAACCCCGCTCACAGTCAGAATCCCTGTTTTTCTAGGTATTTTTGAGTTATAAAACCTCATGTAATTGAATAAATGTGAGGTAAAGCTGTTTAATTCATTGTGGAACATTCTAAGCAGAGCAATGACATATCCACAGAAACAAGAAGGTGACAGACCTCGAACCAAAAAGTTACATAGTGCACTTTAACATCTACTGTCACATGTCACATCCTCTGTCTGTGATGATTTTGACACATGTATTTCACATTGGGAAATACAGTTTTCACTCCTGCTTCAGTTTCTGCCTGTACTTTACAAGAGAAGCCTTTTAATCAGGTGTTTTGTTTTCAAAATGTAGGTCAGTCCTATGAAATCCGTATGCTTAACAGAAAACTAGTGGAGTATTCAGACATAAGCACCAAATATGTGAAGGTAGGTGGACAGTTTTCTGTCTCTGCTCAATTTTAAAAATCTATTTTTCTGTACCAGTTTTAAGTTATACTGTAATAAATGTGTTTCCTCATCAAAAACATACTTGAAGTTTCATTTAGACATAGTTAATACACAACTCTTGCATATGTAGACTGTGTTCCACTGTTCCACTTTGTGATTTTTTTAATACAGGAAGTGCTCCATTGTGTTTTAAAACTCCATCCATCTTCACTAGAATGATTTGGATCATTTCTGGCCCAGAATTGCCAATCACTACTGCACAAAAGCTAAAAAGAGCTATTAACTTGAAAACTACCGCTTCATGACATCACAAGGTGGAACAGAGCATTTTGAGCTTGGGAAATGTAGACAGCCTGATAATGTAGGATTACTCAAACATGTGTGAATGAAACAAAACACTCCTGGTCTGTTTTTGATGAGGTAACTTGGATCAAACTTCACAAGATTTTGCGTAATACAGGATCTTTAATATGCAGCACATGGGCTGTTACTGTGTAAAAATAAAGTGTAGAATTGCAATAATTAGTCAGATAATGGACAAAGAATTCAACTGTAAACTACACTGCATATTGAAAGTATGTTTGTGTATCATCTGGCTCATTATTTGACAGTAACTCACACACTGCCTTGTTTAGTGTAGTCCTTACCCAAAGGACCTTGGTCAACACTTGGGTTAATTTTTGAAGAGTAGCTCCAGCGGACATGCCTTTGCGGTCAAGGTGCCGCACATTTAAGTTTGAACATCCCAGAAACACAAGAACGCCACAGGTGGATCTGAGTAAATACATGATGCCATTTATGAGTGTGTGAGAGAGCTACACTAGAGCTGAGTCTGTGTCGTCATCTCAACTGTCAAACATACATCCTAAAATCCCAGAGCACCAGAGAGAGCTACAGCTCCTCTTTTATTTGTAAAATAGCAAAGTATTGATCTAGTCAGTATGTGGGCTTGTAATGACGTGAATCCAGCACTGCTATTGCTAATGAACCTTATCTTATTTAATATTTACTTATTCTGCAATTCTTGTTTTGTCAACAGGTTCTGTGCACAGCAGCACACCAGTTATCTCACTGTGTCTCAAAGCTCACAGTCACTTTTATTAAAACTAATAATCTATTAATATTTAAATTATTTAAAATTCAGGTATGCAAACTCCCCCACCACAGTAAAGTGGCAGTTCAAGGTTTGCGTACTCAAATGATCCTCGGAGCTAAGTTGGCTGGGGTATTATGCCCCTGGTAGGGTTTCCCATGGCAAACAGATCCGAGGTCACGGGTCAGAATAAAAACAGTTCATGAACCCCTATGAATAGTCTGATATCAAGGACTGTAATGTCACCCGGGGCCCCACCCGAGAGCCAGGCCTGTGGTTGGGGCTCAAAAGCGAGTGCCTGTTAGACGGGCCTTTGCCCACGGGTCCCAGCTGGGCTCAGCCCAAAAGGATGACATGGGTCGGCCTGTGGTCTCACCACCCACAGCGGGTTTCATATGGGTCAGGTGCAAAGAGGACTAGACGACTGTTGAGGTCAGAGTCCACGACAACCTAGTCCACGGGCAGAGAACCTGGCCTCACTTCACTGGTGGAAAAGGAGCCTGAGCTTGTGCAGGAGGTTAAGAGGTACCCTCTAGATGTAGTCGGGCTCACGGCCACGCACAACTTGGACTCTGGTACTCAACTTCTCGAGAGACCCTCCATTTTCTGGTGTCGCCTGCGGGGAGCGGCGGTGAGCTGGTGTGGCCTTATAGTCCCACAGCTCAGTCGCCATGTGCTGGTGTTAACAGCAGTGAACGGGGACAGGTCACTCACTGTGGATGATCGACTTTGTTGTCATGTCTGAGTGGTTGGGACGAGAATCAGCTCCTCCCAATTAAAGACCATGGTTCTCAACCGGAAAAAGGTGGCTTGCCCTCTCCGGGTGGGTGGAGGGTCCCTGCCTCAAATGAAGGAGTTGAAGTATCTTTGAGTCTTGTTCACAAGTGACTGGAGGATGGAGCGTGAGACTGATAGGCAGATCGGTGCAGCGTCTGCAGTGACACAGTTCTTGGACTGTTGTGGTGAAGAAGGAGCTGAGTCGAAAGGCAAAGCTCTTGATTTACCGGTTAATCTACGTTCCTCCCCTCACCTATGGTCATGAGCTTTGGGTAATGACTGAAAGGACGAGATTGCACGAGGGACTATGTCTCTTGGCCTCTCTATGTCTAGAAAACTGAGTTTGAAAATGAGCACAAATCAAACAGTGCGATCAGATTATAACTGACCCACAAGTGCGTCGAGAGTGGACAATGTCACGCGCTCTTTTCACAGTCTTATTTCTAACAACTGTCCCAACCCACGCTGTCTTAGTTTTGATTTTTGAAAATTTGATCACCCTAAATCAGTTCACTGCTTTTTCTTTAAATCTTAATTCATTTTTATACAGAGATAAAACTGGACAGGAAGTAGAGAGACTAACAGTGAGGTTGCCGGGCGTTATTGTGCACAGAGCCTTTTGAGATGACAGGCTGCAGTGAGGTGACATATAGACAGATAAATGTAAACAGAACAGTGTACAGAGTGTGCTGACGTGGTGTCCCTGTGCTCAGAGCATAGTGCGGGTGGTGTTTCATGACCGCAGGCTGCAGTACATGGAGCACCAGCAGCTGGAGGGCTGGAGGTGGAGCCGACCCGGGGACCGCATCCTCGATATCGGTCAGTCACTGCACTCACACAGTACTTCACTTTACCTTATAGTAGGGAGACCAGGCATCCCCTTTCCCCGGGACAGTCCCAGTTTTGAGCTCTTTGTCCCCTGTCCCAGCAGATTTATCCCAAACCAGTGATTTTGTCACTGTTTTATACAAGAAATGTTCCAGGTGTCGCTATTTTCGACCAATCTGATCCCTGCCAGCAGTAAAGTAAAAAACATATCTTGTCATTTGTTTAAGTAAAATATAGCAAACAGTGCTTAAAAAAGAACATAAAGCAACACAAGTCCCTCAGATTATAGCTGTCGAGAATGGACTATATGCTCTTTTCAGAATGTTATTTATACCAACTATCCCATATCGGGTGTGTCCCAGGTTTGAAATTTAAAAAATCTGGTCCCCCTCCCTTATAGCACAGATATAACCTGGTACTGGCATAGAAAAAGGTACAATACCATTTTAAAATAATATTAATTTCATAATATTTCAAATTTCAACTTGATTAAAGGTGCAACTTTTCTGGTGGAGAGTCTGTCAAATGCTGTGATGTTATTTCTCTGTCTGGAATATTTCTCAGTATGGCAAACTAGACCAAGTTACAGGCCAGATCTGTGGCGCAGTCAGCAGTCAGAATGTCTGTTTTTCATAGTACTTTTGTGCTGTAAAACCACCTCTAACTCAATAAATATAAAGTGGAGCTGGAACAGGAACAATAGAAACCAGCAGGTGACGGACCCCCCACCCTAAAAGTTACATAATGTTCTCTGTCTGCGGCTTGTTAGACTTTAATTTGACCTTTATTTTAACACAATCTGATTGGAAAGAGCAGACTTAGCTGGAAGTACATTTTATAAAATTTATCCACGACTATCATGAAATCGATTTTTAATTTTAATTGTAGAATCAGCCTGAGTTAACAAGTTACTTATGTTTTATTCATGACAATAAAGTTAGTTTTGCTCAGGAGTAATTCACTTGTCGTTGTTCGCCTTTAGGTTTTCGTCTTTCTTACCTTGATAGTTGTGAATAAAATTTTCATGTTTATCCTTTGTTGACCTGGTTGAATAAAGATTCGGTGATGATGCAGATTTATGAAGCTGGTGGAAAATACACGAGGCATTTCCACAGATATTTTGCCATGGAAAAGCATTAACCGGAAGTGACATTTACTTTACATCGCAGAACTTCTGGTCTTTGTTGAAAAGGTCTATAGCACTAATACTCCCTGCCCACACTCTGACAATGAGAGCGTCACTCAAAAGTGAAAAATTCAAAGCACACTCAGAGGGCCGATGTCCAAAAGCTGATTTATTTTCAAAATAATTTTTCAGCAAAAAAGCCTTCATCAGATATTTTTCTTACTTTGGACCACAGTGCACAAAATGGTTGCCAGCCCAGGTGCCATTTTTTGAAAATAAGTAAGCTTTTGGACATCGGCCATCTGAGTGTGCTATGCATTTTTTCACTTTTGTCTGGCTGCTCCTTGCATTTGCACCTCTACAAGAATTTTGGAGTGTGTTTTCTGTTTCTTTTGAATCAGAGCGTCATTAGTGAATGTGCAATTACACTTTATTCTAGCACGGGAAAAAAAAAAGGATGTTCCCCAAGGTCACACGGGCTCCCCCGGCTTTACAGTAACAAGCTAGATCTCAGTTTTTCAGTAAGTCTCTCTCAGTTTTTTGGTGACATTCAAACACCTAAACAGGACCAGGAACGCTCTTTTTGATCACAGGCTTCTGGAAATGTGCTGTTTAAATCCATTTTCAATCTTAAAACATATTTGTCAGTGTTTGTTGATGTGGAGACTGGTGGTGATATGATTATACATGAGCGTGGTTAGTTTGAAAATTCACATTAGGACGTAGACAGTGGTGTTTGTGAAGAAGAGCAGATTCATCATTCGTCTTGTCACGTATCTTGCAGACATCCCTCTCTCAGTGGGCGTACTAGAGCCACGTTCACACCCGCTCCACCTCAACACCATCGAATTCCTGTGGGACCCTGCCAAGAACGCCTCCGTCTTCATCCAGGTACAAATATCCGGACGTTTACACATCACAGGTTCGACTGGTCATTTCAATAAAACATAGTTAACATCATTATCCAAACCAATGCACTTTATTTATACATCACATTTTATAAACAAGACAGTGCTGCACAGACAAATTAAGACAATAAAAGAGAGAAGATCATAAATAAAAACAATAAATAAAAAGCATTAAAATACATAATACATATTTATACATGCAAGTTATACATGAAAGTTGGACGAAAGTTTGACTAAACCTAAACTAAATCTGGACTAAACCTGGCCTAAACCCTGACTAAACCCGTACGAAAGTTGGACAAAAGTTGGATGAAACCTGGACAAAACCCGGATGAGAGTTGCACTAAATCCGGACTAAACCCAGACAAAAGTTGGACAAAAGTTGGACGAAACCTGGGCAAAACCTGGACGAAAGTTGGATGTAAGTTGTACAAAACCTGGACGATACCTAGATGAAAGTTGGACTAAATCCGGACTAAACCCGGACTAAACCTGGACAAAAGTTGGTCAAAAGTTGGACGAAACCTAGACAAACCCCAGACGAAAGTTAGACTAAATCCGGACTAAACCCGGACTAAACCTGGACAAAAGTTGGTCAAAAGTTGGACGAAACCTAGACAAACCCCAGACGAAAGTTAGACTAAATCCGGACTAAACCCAGACAAAATTTGGATGAAAGTTGGACAAAAGTTGGACAAAACCTGGACGATACCTAGACGAAAGTTGGACTAAATTCAGACTAAACCCGGACTAAACCTGGACAAAAGTTGGACAAAAGTTAAACAAAAGTTGGACAAAACCTGGACGAAACTCAGACAAAGGTTGGGCTAAATCCGGACTAAACCCAGACAAAATTTGGACGAAAGTTGGACAAAAGTTGAACAAAAGTTGGACAAAACCTGGACGATACCTAGACGAAAGTTGGACTAAATCTGGACTAAACCCGGACTAAACCTGGACAAAAGTTGGTCAAAAGTTGGACGAAACCTGGACAAAACCCAGACTAAAGTTGGACTAAATCCGGACTAAACCCAGACAAAATTTGGATGAAAGTTGGACAAAAGTTGAACAAAAGTTGGACAAAACCTGGACAATACCTAGATGAAAGTTGGACTAAATCCGGACTAAACCCGGACTAAACCTGGACAAAAGTTGGACAAAGGTTGGACGAAAGTTGGACGAAACCTGGACAAAACCCAGAATAAATTTGGAATAAATCTGGACTAAACCCAGACAAAATTTGGACGAAAGTTGGACGAAACCTGGACAAAACCTAGAATAAATTTGGAATAAATGTGGACTAAACCCAGACAAAATTTTGATGAAAGTTGGACAAACGTTGGACAAAAGTTGAACAAAAGTTGGACAAAACATGGACAATACCTAGACAAAAGTTGGACAAAAGTTGGACGAAAGTTGGACTAAATCCGGACTAAACCTGGACAAAAGTTGGACAAAGGTTGGACGAAAGTTGGACGAAACCTGGACAAAACCCAGACTAAAGTTGGACTAAATCCGGACTAAACCCAGACAAAATTTGGATGAAAGTTGGACAAAAGTTGAACAAAAGTTGGACAAAACCTGGACAATACCTAGATGAAAGTTGGACTAAATCCGGACTAAACCCGGACTAAACCTGGACAAAAGTTGGACAAAGGTTGGACGAAAGTTGGACGAAACCTGGACAAAACCCAGAATAAATTTGGAATAAATGTGGACTAAACCCAGACAAAATTTGGACGAAAGTTGGACGAAACCTGGACAAAACCTAGAATAAATTTGGAATAAATGTGGACTAAACCCAGACAAAATTTTGATGAAAGTTGGACAAACGTTGGACAAAAGTTGAACAAAAGTTGGACAAAACATGGACAATACCTAGACAAAAGTTGGACAAAAGTTGGACGAAAGTTGGACTAAATCCGGACTAAACCTGGACAAAAGTTGGACAAAGGTTGGACGAAAGTTGGACGAAACCTGGACAAAACCCAGACTAAAGTTGGACTAAATCCGGACTAAACCCAGACAAAATTTGGATGAAAGTTGGACAAAAGTTGAACAAAAGTTGGACAAAACCTGGACAATACCTAGATGAAAGTTGGACTAAATCCGGACTAAACCCGGACTAAACCTGGACAAAAGTTGGACAAAGGTTGGACGAAAGTTGGACGAAACCTGGACAAAACCCAGAATAAATTTGGAATAAATCTGGACTAAACCCAGACAAAATTTGGACGAAAGTTGGACGAAACCTGGACAAAACCCAGAATAAATTTGGAATAAATCTGGACTAAACCCAGACAAAATTTGGACGAAAGTTGGACGAAACCTGGACAAAACCCAGAATAAATTTGGAATAAATGTGGACTAAACCCAGACAAAATTTGGACGAAAGTTGGACGAAACCTGGACAAAACCCAGAATAAATTTGGAATAAATGTGGACTAAACCCAGACAAAATTTGGACGAAAGTTGGACGAAACCTGGACAAAACCCAGAATAAATTTGGAATAAATCTGGACTAAACCCAGACAAAATTTGGACGAAAGTTGGACGAAACCTGGACAAAACCCAGAATAAATTTGGAATAAATGTGGACTAAACCCAGACAAAATTTGGATGAAAGTTGGACAAACATTGGACAAAAGTTGAACAAAAGTTGGACAAAACATGGACAATACCTAGACGAAAGTTGGACGAAAGTTGGACAAAAGTTGGACGAAAGTTGGACTAAATCCGGACTAAACCTGGACAAAAGTTGGACGAAAGTTGGACGAAACCTGGACAAAACCCAGAATAAATTTGGAATAAATCTGGACTAAACCCAGACAAAATTTGGATGAAAGTTGGACAAACGTTGGACAAAAGTTGAACAAAAGTTGGACAAAACATGGACAATACCTAGACGAAAGTTGGACAAAAGTTGGACAAAAGTTGGACGAAAGTTGGATGAAACCTGGACGAAACCTGGACAAAACCTGAAAGCTAAAAAGAAGAGTTAAAACTTTCCTAAATAAATATCATATATATCACTGTCTCTGTCGTTCTCTCTGTCTTTCTTTGTCCCTCTCTCTCCCTAACTCTTTCTCTCTTCGCTCTCTTCTCCCTCTCTCTCTCTCAGGTGAACTGCATCAGCACAGAGTTCACTCCCAGGAAACACGGAGGTGAAAAAGGCGTTCCGTTCAGGATCCAGGTGGACACTTTCACCACCAACGAGCAGGGAGAGTATATGGAGCACGTGCAGTCGGCCAGCTGCCAGATCAAAGTGTTTAAGGTACATCTGCTACATTCACATCACCCATTAAAAACACATATTCATTTTTAGGTTTCTGTGTTTAAAGAGGATCTACCTACTTTTTGGAGCTTTCTACCATCACAAAAACCTGACAGTGTGCAGTGCTGGGGAGTAACGGATTACATGTAACTGGGATTCCGTAATCAGAGTACAATTTATGAGTGACTGTATTCAGTTACAGTTACTGTTTCAGTGAGTGGTAATTGGATTACAGTTACTTTGTTGAAATAAATGGATTACACGGCGGTATTTTCCTGTTTTCACATTTTGGGCTAAACCAGGACTAAAACCAGGACCACACCAGGACTACACCAGGACTACACCAGGAATAAACCAGGACTACACCAGGACTAAACCAGGACTAAACCAGGACTTAAACCAGGACTAAACCAGGACTACACCAGGACTAAACCAGGACTAACCAGGACTACACCAGGAAGGAACCAGGACTACACCAGGACTACCAGGACAGGACTAACCAGGACTTACACCAGGACTACTAAACCAGGACTACACCAGGACTACACCAGGACTACACCAGGACCAGGACTAAACCAGGAACTAAACCAGGACTAAACCAGACTACACCAGGACTACACCAGACTAAACCAGGACTACACCAGGAATAAACAGGACTAACAGGACAGGATAACCAGGACTAAACCAGGACTACACCAGGACTACCAGGACTAACAGGACTACACCAGAACTAAACCAGGACTACACCAGGACTACAACCAGGAATAAACCAGGACTAACACCAGGACTAAACCAGGACTACACCAGGACTAACCAGGAACCAGGAAACCAGGACTAAACAGGACTAAACCAGGACTACCAACACCAGGACTACCAGGACTAAACCAGGACTAAACCAGGACTACACCAGGACTAAACCAGGACTAAACCAGGACTACACCAGGACTACACCAGGACTACACCAGGACTTAAACCAGGACTAAACCAGGACTACCTACACCAGGACTAACACCAGGACTACACCCAGGACTACACCAGGACTACTAACCAGGACTAAACCAGGACTAAACCAGGACTTAACCAGGACTAACACACCAGGACTACACCAGGACTAAACCAGGACTAAACCAGGACTAAACCAGGACTACACCAGGACTACACCAGGAAACCAGGACTACTACACCAGGACTACACCAGGACTAAAACCAGGACTTAAACCAGGACTACACCAGGACTAAACCAGGACTAAACCAGGACTAAACCAGGACTAAACCAGGACCACACCAGGACTAAACCAGGACTAAACCAGGACTAAACCAGGACTAACCAGGACTAACCAGGACTACACCAGGACTAAACCAGGACTACACCAGGACTAAACCAGGACTACACCAGGACTAAACCAGGACTTAAACAGGACTAACCAGGGACACCAGGACTACACCAGGACTAAACCAGGACTAAACCAGGACTACACCAGGACACCAGGAAACCAGGACTAAACCAGGACTAAACCAGGACTACACCAGGACTACACCAGGAATAAACCAGGACTACACCAGGACTAAACCAGGACTAAACCAGGACTAAACCAGACTAAACCAGGACTAAACCAGGACTACACCAGGAACCAGGACTAACCACCAGGACTAAACCAGGACTACACCAGGACTAAACCAGGACAGGAACACCAGACTAAACCAGGACTACTAAACCAGGACTTAAAACCAGGACTACACCAGGACTAAAACCAGGACAACACCAGGACAAACTAACCAGGAAACCAGGACTACACCAGGACTACACCAGGACTACACCAGGACTACCAACCAGGACTACACCACCAGGACTACACCAGGACTACACCAGGACTAAACCAGGACTAACACCAGGACTACACCAGGACTACTAACCAGGACTACACCAGGACTAACACCAGGACTACACCAGGACACCAGGACTACACCAGGACTACACCAGGACTAAACCAGGACTACACCAGGACTACACCAGGACTACACCAGGACTACACCAGGACTACACCAGGACTACACCAGGACTAAACCAGGACTTAAACCAGGACTACCAGGACTGAACCAGGACTGAACCAGGACTGAACCAGGTCTAAACAATATGACACATAACAGTAGGTGGACATAATTTAAGGCAGCAGTGATCTCATATACAAATCATTTCTCTATCAATAATATTTTTAAAATGCTTAAGTAAAGACAGGGCTTTTTATTTTCTTTTAGCAGACAAAACAGATATCTCATGTTAAGATTTCCTGGTCTTTACTTCTCTAGAGTAAACAGTTGTCTGTTGTCATGGAGACTTGGGCTCAACAGACAATTTAAAGAGAACAAACAAGAATTTTCAGGATGCGGTTGTTAGATTCATGTTGTTTTCAAAAGCATAACAATATCAAGTAATCCAAAGTATTCAGATTACGTTACTCACTTCAAGTAATTTAATGGATTACGTTACAAACTACATTTTGGGGTGTAATCTGTAATCTGTAGGGGAATACATTTTAAAAGTCACCTTCCCAACACTGACAGTATGACATTAACAGCTCTACATTATGTTTATTTAATTACAAATGCTTCTAAATAACTAGAAATATTGGCATTCTGTCTATGAGCCCGGTTGCCTCTCCACAGATCTGACCCATAACTTAAAGATATAAAGATTTAATGCCATACTGTGAAACGCTCCAGACAAAACAATAACATCACCACAGAGAAAAGCATTTGACGGAGCCTCCAACTAGGGGTGTGCAAAAATATTGAAATATCGGTATATCGTTTCGTTTAAAGTGATGATACAGTATCGATATCATGGCCTGCTGTATCGATATATCGACAAGAGTATTTTTAAAGTACAGTGCTACAGTTTTGTTGTTTTTTTTAGTGGAAGGAAACTTTTTTATGCAACACTTTTGACATTTTCACTGTTTTGATGATTACAATGTTTGCGTTTCCGATTAACTTTGCACAAGAAGTGGTTTAACATAGACTTTTAGTATCACAGCCATGATTTAGCCTTTTTATTTTTTATTGAACCGTATCGAATCAAAAGTGCACAGTATCGAGGTATGTATCGTATCGTGGCCTATGTATCGTATCGGCAACTTCTTAATGATACCCAGCCCTAGTGACGATGCTAGAAAAGAGTATGTCATAATTTTGTTTATTTATTTATTTATTTTTGTCTTAAAGCCTAAAGGAGCAGATCGTAAACTGAAAACAGATCGGGAAAAGATCCACAAAAAGGAGCCCCAAGACCGGGAGAAGTACCAGCTCTCACACGAGACCACCGTACTCAAAGAGGTACAGCTCGTTTTCTCTTCTAACCATGAATATATTTATTTATTTGACCTTCATTTTCCACACGTCATCCTAGTACCCCTTTTTCCAGAAGATAGTAGGGATGTAACGTAATAGAAATATCGTCAAAAGTCTTGCAATATGTTGAATTACAAATTTCTCCGCTTAAATTTATTGTTATGGTGCAGCAACAGCTAAAAAACTGAGAGAACTACATAGACCATGATCCTTTGCTCTGTTTCTTTCTTCAGTCCAATCTGTGTAATGAAACAGCAGTGATTAAACGTTTTTACATCTTAATTTTTTCATTATGACAGACGAGTGATGTAGACTTTTTATTAAACCCAGATAGATTTACAACAGTGTAGACTTTGCGGTGTTGTTATCTTAGGTTAGACTTTGTAGTTCTCAAAACCACAACACACTTACAGAACGAGTAAATGCAAACTCATTCATGTTAATATGTTGCATGAGTCACTACGTTTTCCCAAAGTTTGTTTTGTCTGTCAATGATTGGGGCTCGGAGTCACATGGACCAGGTTAATCTCGTTTGAAATTGAACCGGAAAAAACATGGAACAAAAAAAAAAAGGATCTCCAACACAGTCAATTAAACAGCAGATTTTCTAGTTTAACATATTAACTTCTTTCAAAAAATAAAAGTTGCGGAGATGAAGAAAAAGATTAATTTCAATAAAATTTATTCTGACACCACAAACTCCAGTAGCTTACATTCTGTGTTTCAGGCACTTTACATTGAAACTGCTTGTTTTTGTTTCTAAATGTATCACAGTTTATATTAGTTTATTAGTTTTGTTATAATCATAAGGAACTGAAAACTGTAACTTCCCTGAAATCTCTGATCATGACTCACGTACGTGTACAGTAGCCAACAACTGTATTGTCATAACGTAACTTCAGAATAATATTACTCATAACGCCGAAAATAGTGGTTCAAGAAATGACTAAGTAAGACTACTACTCAAGAAAGAGTAACTGAAAGAGAAAATGAAACATTAAATCATGCCCAAGATCAGGTATTTTCAAAGGATAGACACAAAAATTAAAAACACGAAATCATATCTGAATGAGTGACACAAAAAACGCAAATCAACATAAAACTTGGGAAGAGTCACGAAAACCTTAACTCAAGTAAGAGTACTGTTTCTTCAGTAAAAATATTACTCAAGTAGGAGTAAAAGTATGCTGTAAGAAAAGTACTTTGCTCATTTGTGTATGTATGTGTGTGTATTTGTCTGTGTCTGTGTGTTTATGTTTACATATACGTGCTTGTGTGTATCTTTGTGTGCAGTGTTCTCCGTGGCCTGACGCTGTGAACCTCCCAAACCACAGCAGCAGCAACGGCGGCGGCAGCAACAGTCTCCCTCTGTCTCCAGGTTACCACAGCCCCCCCGCCCCCTGCTCCTTCACTGAACGGTAAGAATCTTCCCTCACTGGAACACACAAAATGACTCTTGTGAGTTTTAAGCCATGTTAGAATGTTGTTACTCCTCAAAAACAGACCTAGAGTTGTGTTTTGTTTCATTCACACATGTCTGAGTAATCCTGCATTATTACGTATTACTGTCTACAAGAGATGGGGCCAAGTCGTTCTTTTGCAAGCCTCAAGTAAGTCTTTGACCTCAAGTCCGAGTCAAGTCTGGGCTTTTTATTTTCTTTTAGCAGATAAAACATCTTATGTTACAATATCCTCGTCTTTGCTTCTCTACAGCAAACCAAGTAATCCAAAGTATTCAGATTACGTTACTCACTTTAAGTAATTTAATGGATTACGTTACAAACTACATTTTGGGGTATGTAATCTGTAATCTGTAGATTACACTGTACATTTTAAAAGTCACCTTCCCAACGCTGCCAACAGAGCCCAAAGGAAGTCGCCATCTTCATGTTTCCAAACGTCTTCCGGTTTTGTGACATGAGCGTGAACAGAGCCCATTGATACTTTGTGGCGGCATCATGCTGGGGGTGTTCTACAGTTTGTTTATGGCAGAATATTCAGAAATTACCATGGTGACACAATGCATACATTAGCAATAACTAGGGATGTAACAATAACCAAAATATCGTGATATCGTATCGTCAAAAGTCTCACAATAATATCGTGTAACAGCTTATAAACATTGGGAACTACATATCCCATGATTCATTTCAGTGCAAACAACATGAAGAAATATGTTTTTTACGTGAATTCTTGGGATTATGACAGAAATAATTTACACCAAAATCAAAAGGTATTTTAAAAGCAAAAAAGTGTCCTATCTACAATTACATTAGCCTCTCCAAGACATCGCAATAAATATCGTACCGTGAGATTTGGATATCGTTACATCCTTAGCAATAATAAGTTTTAACACTGTCTGAAAACAAAATGGATTTAAATCACATATTTTCAGAAGTCTGTGATCACGAGTGCTCACAATCTGTGTATCATTCATTCATTAGTTTTTGAAAATAAAACCAAAAATAAGAAAATGAAAAAACAACAATTTTCTTCATTATTTGTCTCCAAACCCAAAATGAAAAAACGGATAATGATTTGTTTTTTCAGTTTTCGATTTTGTGTTTAAATGAATGATGGAAAAAACGTTTAACGGCCGTTTCCCGTTTATGTGACTTGAACTGTGATGTGGGACTTTTGCACCGTGTACGGACTGAACCAGGACTAAACCAGGACTAAACCAGGTCCGGGACCAGACCGGAACTGAGTCCGGGCACCGACCAGGATCAGGACCAGGACTAAGACCGAGACTGAAGCCGGGACTGAAGCCGGGACCAGACCAGGACCAGACCAGGACTGAGACCGGGACCAGACCAGGACTGAGACCAGGACTGAGACCGGAGACCGGGACCAGACCAGGACTGAGACAGGACTGAGACCCAGACCGACTGAGACCGGAGACAGGACAGAGACTGACCGAGACCAGACCAGGACTGAGACCGGGACCAGAGGACAGACTGAGACCGGGACTGAGACCGGAGACCGGGACCAGGACTGAGACCGGGACCGAGGACCGAGACTGAGACCGGAGAGGACTGAGACCTGAGACCGGGACTGAGACCGGGACCAAAGCGGGACTGAGACCGGGACCGAGGCCGAGACTGAGACCGGGACCAGACCGGGACTGAGACCGGGACCAAAGCGGGACTGAGACCGGGACTGAGACCGGGACTGAGACCGGGACCAAAGCGGGACTGAGACCGGGACCAGGACTGAGACCTGAGACCGGGACCAGACCGGGACCAGACCGGGACCAGACCGGGACCGAGACCGGGACCGAGGCGGACCGAGGCCGAGACCGGGACTGAAGCCGGGACTGAAGCTAGGACCAGGCCGGGACAGGCCGTGACTGAGACCGGAACCAGACCAGGACTGAGACCGGGACCAGGTCAGGACTGAAAACGGTTTAGTCCTGTTTTAGTCCCATTTTAGTCCTTGTTCAGTCCTGGTTTAGTCCTGGTTCAGTCCGGCATCGCAGTTTAAAGTCACGAAAACGGTAAAGGATCATTATCCGTTTTTTCCATTATTCATTTAAACCCAAAATCAAAAACAAAAAACAAATCATTATCTGTTTTTTCATTTTGGTTTTAGAGACAAATAGTTTTGGTTTTATATGGAAAAATGAATGAACAAATGACACACAGATTGTTCATAGTTCTGTTTAGGTGTTCATTACAGCTCTTTATGCAGAGTACGGGTTTCCATGGTTACAAAAAAGCACATAAAATCCTACCCCTGGATGAAAAACCAAGCTTTCAGGAAGTCCCTCAAAAGCAGGCTTGTCTAATTTTCCGTGTTATTTCTCCCTGGATTCCTCCGTAGCAGCTGTTCCCCAGACCAGCCCGCGGAGCTGCTCGTAGCCGGCTGCACGGATGTAAGTATGCGTGCAGATTGGCGTCTAAAGCGTGCTCTCTTATTCCCTTTAGGCCAGTATTTGGAGACAGTGGATACTCATTACAAAGGGCTCTTGTTGTTTTTGACCCGTAGCACCTTCTGGCCACGTCCTCCCCACAGGACACACAGCAATGGCTCCTCCAACACAGGTTCACGCCTTTCTCAAAGCTCTTCTCCAGCTTCTCAGGTACAATCCACCACTGCGACGCAACAAATGTACACTCTGAAGGTGCACTGTGTGACTTTTCTGGTGGAGGGCCCCCGTCAAATGCTTTTCGCCAAATAGAGACATACAGATAATTTTTTTAGAGACTTCCAAAAGATGATGTTGGCGTGAGATTTTTCAACATAAAGTACTGACTCCCAATTTATACCCAATTATACACACACAGTCTCTCTTTAGTTTTGTTATACGTGTAGAACCCATGTGTCATTCGTTCATTCGTTTTTCAATATAAAAGCAAAATGAAGAAAATGAAAAAAAAAACAAAAAAAACAACAATTTTTTTCATTATTTGTCTCCAAAACCAAAATGAAAAAACAGATAATGATTCGTTTTTTTCAGTTTTCAATTTTGTGTTTAAATGAAGAATGGAAAAAATGGATAACGGCCGTTTCTCATTTAATTGACTTCTGTGACTGCGATGCCGGACTGAACCAGGACTGATCCAGGTCCGGGACCAGACTGGGACGAGACTGGGACCAGAGCGGGACCAGAGTGGACTCTGAGCTTTGACTCCGAGCCCCCTCGTGGTCCGAGGCTCAGCTTCGAGCTCCAGCCCTGTCATGGGCTCTGAGCCTCCGGTCTGGTCCCGGCCTGGTCTCGGTCTCAGTCCCTGTCTGGTCTCACTCTCGATCTGGTCCCAGTCTCAGTTCAGATCTCAGTCCCGGTCTGGTCCTGGTCTGATCTCAGTCTCGATCTGGTCCCGGTCTCAGTTCAGATCTCAGTCTCGCACTGGTCTCGGTCTGGTCCCTGTCTGATCCCGGCCTGGTCTCGGTCTCAGTCCCACTCTGGTCCCGCTCTGGTCCCGGACCTGGATCAGTCCTGGTTCAGTCCGTATGAGGTGCAAAATTCCGGCATCACAATCACGGAAGTCACGTAAACGGGAAACGGTCGTTATCCGTTTTTTCCATTTTTCATTTAAACACAAAATCGAAAACTGAAAAAACAAATCATTATCTGTTTTTTCATTTTGGTTTTTGGAGTCAAATAATGAAGAAAACTATTGTTTTTTTGTTTTCTTATTTTTGGTTTTATATTGAAAAACAAATGAACGAATGATACATGGATTGTGTAGCCAGCCCGTCAACAATCATTTGGCAGGCTTGGGGCAAAAAACCTCGCATGGGCCCCCCTCTAATATAAATCAAATTCTGGGCCTCTGAAACCCCGAGGCCCAGGACAAACACAGACTGTATAAAAAAAGTGGACTAAGTGACGTCATCCACAGAGTTCAGTTCCAGTCAAATGAAACTCATAATTTTAATGTTTACAGGGGTCAGTTTGGAGCCATAACAGCAGTAGTGTGAAATAGTATGAGCAATACATGCATCACGAATTTCCCGGTCATTGTGCAATGCATACTGGGGAGGATCCTCCAAAAAAGTTTTCATTTCATTTCATTTATTTATTTGTTTGAGCCAGGTACAACAAAATTCAAAAACAATAACAAAAATAGCGATATGTACATGAACATATTTGAGACCTGGTGCTCAAAAGGAGTAGGATGAAGTTTAAAAAACATATAGAATCCTACCCCAATTGTTTTACATAATCACGTGGTTCACAAGTGAGCATCAAACCACCATGTTTGATTTCCCAGTGGGATGTGTCTATTGTCAAAGCCGATCTTTTCAAGTCTTTTGAACCATATCGCATGTGTTTCTGGTTCTTGTATTGTCATATTTTAGTTATGGGATTCGGACATTGTAATTGTGTGGCTGTTGGATGTCCTAACAGCAAAAAATGGGCTTCAAAAGTTTGTGAACTCCATAAATGCAAAAGGTAATCAGATCTGTGTGAGTGCAAACCTCCGTTCAAACTGTTTCCCTTCCCAATGGAATTGAAGAATAGTGAAAGGTGAAGGCGATGGGCAGGATTGATCCACAGGAAGGACCAAAAAGGAAACCTCGCACTCTTGTTCAATTGGCTTTACAGCAACGTCACGTCTTGGTGAACAGCTGGTGCCTTTCGCCTTGACGTTGGCTTTATAAATTTGTAACCAAGGTTGAGCAAGGGGGTTTTGTTGGCACTCCACATACAAAATGTTCGCTGCAAACTCAGGATGATTTCTTAGGCAGCCAAAGATTTCCTTTTTGGTCCTTCATGTGCATCAATCATGCCCTTCGCCTTTGATTATTTTCTATTCCGTTGGGAAGGGAAACAGTTTGGATGGAGGTTTGCAGTCACACAGATCTGATTCCCTTTTGCAGTTATGGAGTTCACAAACTTCCGAAGCCCGTTTCTCGAGCCGTTTTCCGCAGTCAGGGCATCCAATAACCACACAATTACGATGTTCGAATCCCATAAATAAAATATGACAATATCAAAACCAGAAACAAAAGTGATATGGTCTGCAAATAAAACTGTACTTTAATATTCTTAGTGTAGCTTGCAAAGTGTTCAGTAACAAACATCTCCGTCGCATTCGTCCATCGTGGCCTCCTCAAAAGCACCTGCACCTGTTTTGTTAGACCATAGTTATCTGTCTGGCTGGACTAACTTGTCAGAAGGTCAGACATTGTGAATGTGTTGTAGGAGCTGACCTGCTGAGGATGAGCAGAGAAGATCTGATCCAGATCTGTGGCCCGGCCGACGGCATCCGCCTCTTCAACACTATGAAAGGAAGGTCAGTACCCAGTGCAAAATATTAGCATTCGGACTATAAGTCGTTCTATACCAGGTGCTGTATTAATTCACATACCACAGCCTATCCTTTTCCTATTCTTTTTAAAGAGCTGGCCCCATGTTTTCTCAAATGCACTAATATTTTGTTTCAGGGAAAATCAAATGTTTTCTAACTTTAGACGGGACATGACATCTTGTAACTACTGTGAATGTGAAGGAGGGTTAGTGTCTTTCCACTTGAATAAAATTGCTCGATGTGCCATAAGTAAAGTAAAAACCAAAGAAGATTTTTTTGTAGCACTAAAATGTACATGTACACCAAAAAGCGCCAATACAGGGTTTGGTTCTAACCTTATACTGGATACCTGGGATAGAGTGTTAAAAATGTTCTTCCAGTAGGTTTGCAGACATGAGCAGGACCAAAACCAAAATGTGGCCGAGAGACGCCTCAGTCAGGCCACATCTGATGCACAATGGACTAACTTCAGCATACACAGAAGATAGTCTGGCCCTGGAGATATGCGTTCGATGTACAACTTTGAATTGAATTAACCGGTGCCGAGCATAGAAAGAAGAGGAGTAAGTAAGTTTAAGAGCAGTGGACCAGGTATCATCAGGTATAGCAAGACCTAATCCTCCTCCCAAGCATTTTTACATTTATCCACAGGTGGGATTTTAAGATCTAGCATGATATTATACAACTTAAAAATAAGGCCTTTGGATCCCTGTGCACTGCTACTCAAGTGTTAAAATATATATATATATATATATATATATATATATATATATATATATATATATATATATATATATATATATATATATATATATATGTATTTTTTTTTCACATAAAACTGGCACAAGGTTCACCACATTCTCTGTCAGTATAAATAAATTAAAGGGACGTTTTCAGGAAGTAGCGCCATGGTTCCTCAAAGACATGAGTGTTTGAAAGTGGAAAGGAACTTAAATCATAAGACAGAAATAACAAGGGTGTGAATCAAGAGTGAATTTCCTACAGAAATAGATCAGCCCTTGCACTCATTTTGAACTGAAACTTTGCATGTAAAGTGTCATGCTGATGAATATGACAGGCTTTCATGTTTTTCAGTAATTCAGGTTGCTGGGACAGAACGTTTTGGTTAATATTTATCAGAGTTGCATCAGTTAAATATGAAGAAAGTTTTAAAAAGTAAAAAAAGATAAAAACAAAGAGGAAGTAGCAGAGCGATCTAACATGGAACAGCTCTACCTATAATAATCCGTGTATGATTTGTTCATTCGTTTTTCAATATAAAATCAAAAATAACAAAACGAAAACACAACAATTTTCTTCATTATTTGTCTCCAAAAACAAAATGAAAAAATGGATAATGATTTGTTTTTTCAATTTTGGATTTTGTGTTTAAATGAATAATGGATAAAACGGATAACGGCCCGTTTACGTGATTTAAACTACGATGCCGGACTGAACCAGGACTAAACCAGGAGTAAATTGTTTTCGGTCCTGGTCTGGTTCCGGTCTCAATCCCGGTCTCAGTCCTGGTCTGGTTCTGGCCTCACTCCCGGTGTCAGTCCCGGTCTCCCCTGTCAGTCCCGGTGTCAGTCCCGGTCTCAGTCCCAGTCTCAGTCCTGGTCCTGGTTTTGGCCTGGTCCCGGCCTCAGTCCCTGTCTCATTTCCGGTCTGGTCCCGGGCTCAGTCCCAGTCTTAGTCCTGGTCTCAGTTCTGGTCCTGGTCCCGGTCTGATCTGGAACTCAGTCCTGGTCTGGTCCCGGTCTAAGTCCTGGTCTCAGTGCCGGTTTGGTTCCAGTCTGGTCCCGGACCTGTTTTAGTCCTGGTTCAGTCTGGCATTGTAGTTTAAGTCACGAAAATGGGAAACGGCCGTTATCCGTTTTTTCCATTATTCATTTAAACACAAAATCAAAAACTGAAAAAACAAATCATTATCTGTTTTTTCATTTTGGTTTATGAGACAAATGATGAAGAAAACAGTTGTTTTTCATTTTTGTTTTTATATTGAAAAAACGAATGAAATGATATACGGATTTATAATCATCCATGTGGAAAAATTCTATCCAAAATGCAGGAACAATTTATGCATTTTTCTGACAGATTAAACCCTGATTTAACAAAATAAATCTATTTCAGTTTGTCTAATTATAACTGTTGTGTAAGTTAGACAGTTTTTGACACTTCTTACAATTCTTTTTGACACTGCGCAACTGCTTGTCTCCATGGAGATGGTATGGCTTTCCCTGGAATGTTCCATAGTATGACACAGACATTACGCACGTGTTTCTGTTGCTCATAAACTCAATAATTCCTTCTGTGAATAAGGGCGACTCTCCACAGATCTGAGCTGTAATGTAGCGTAGTGCTGTAACCTGCCTGTCTCCCTTCTGATATACTGTATTTTTCAGACTATAAGTCACTCCGGAGTGTAAGTCGCACCAGCCAAAAAATGCGTAATGAAGAAGAAAAACACATATTTAAGGTGCACTTAAATGAAAATGTATTTTAGAAAATCAGAGACCAGGAACTGACATTTCATCTTGAAAGTCAAGTTATAGTAAAAACAATAGAACAGAGAACAACAGACTGTTAATGTCACATATGAACAGTTCTTCAGAAAACTATAACATAAACAACAGAACAGAACAAGTTTACCAAACTCTTCATCTCACTCCAAATCACTGAATCCATTGAATTCTTCATCCTCTGTGTCACATCTGAGCAACTTTGCAACCTCTGGAGATAAACCATAGATCCATGATGTCAACCGTATTTAGCTGCATATTTCGCTACTTGCAGCAGGACAGAGGCTCTTTCTACAGGAGACATGCGCAGTAGAGTAAAGTGACAGTGGTACAGGAGTAATAGGAGCAGCAGATACTGACACACAAGCCTAGAGCGCCCTCTCGAGGCTGTCAGTGTGAACATTTTAATATATAAGTCGCACCGGAGTATAAGTTGCAGAACCATCAGAGCCAAACCATGAAAAAACGTACAGTCCAAAAAATCCAGTAGGTTTAATCTATACTGTGGAACATTCAAGACAAAGCAATAACATTTCCACATTGACAAAGTGGGGCCGGACCCTCCACTAGAAACATTATGCAGTGTGCCTTTAACAGTATGATCGCTTGGTACCAGAACTTGAATTACATTGTGTATTTAAAGTCACTGTAGTGTTGCTGTAGTGTTGTATATGAGAGATACTTTTCTTTTCTAATGTGTTTTTCCTTTAGGACGATACAGCCACGGCTCACCATCTACGTGAGTCAGCAGCAGAGCAGGACCCCCGCCTCGCTCAAAGCTGTGGGAGGAGACAGTGAGTTAACACTTTAAATATTCAGCTTATAGACGAGTTTCAGCTGACGTCATTGTTATTAAAAGCCCGCGTTGCATGCTGGGAAATAATTTGGTCGGAGGCAAGAAACACGATAGCGGTCAAACACAGTGCGTAACCTCGCGTATTTATCCCCAATAATGGTAAATTCCTGCTGCATTATCGGATGCACAAATAAAAGCACGGAAGAAGGAAAATGTCTTTTTTGTATTCCGAGTGAAAAGAACCGCTAACGGTGAATTAAATGGATTTCAAACATCCGCAAAGCAAACGTAGAAGATCCTAGCAAACCGTGGACTCCAACAAGTTCAACAACGCATCGAGACTCTTGGGGGTTTTCATCTTTTCTGCTGTGAATGGTCCAGGAGTTTCCACCAAGTCATTGTGGATATCGCCGAAGTGAATATTTAGCCAGGTAGTTGGCGATTCTGACCAGAAATTTGGTTTGGTCCACCTTTTGTTGGGGTTGAAAAGGGTGATTTGGCTCCATCGATGCTTATGACCAATTTCTGGTCAAATCATCTTGGGTCCTCTGCCGTTAGAGTGGATAAATAACCGGGATCAATACCCTTTACGTGCTTTCTCCCTCCGTCCGTCATGTTGAATTAGTGTTTCTTGCCGCCGACTAAAATAATTCCCAGCATGCAACACGCGCTTTTGTCAACAATGAAACTTGCCTATTCCAGAAGTTGCTAAGGACGCCGCCTTCATCATTGGGGTTGCATTATTTTGTACTTGTTTACAGTAAATAAGTTCAGTACAGACTTGTTGGTGCACATGAACATTGAACATTTTACATAAATGTACCAACTTTATGTCATATTTTAGCTGCAGAACTTCCCAAATTCTCCAGTGAAATAAATGAGACCCCATTAACCTGAAGTACCACCACAAAAAAGCGCGGTTTACGAGCATTTAGAGGCAAAAGTGACAAAATAAGGTGAATAGTTAGCCCCTATGGTAATTTATATTTGTATTAATGAACATGATAATAAAAAAACAATATGAAGTTATTTAAAATCAGGAAAATTTAATCAATAATCAAAAATTTGTTGAAAAGACATAAGAATGATATATAAGCAAAAGAATAGAAGAGGCCAAGAAAATCCGTGTATCATTTGTTCATTCGTTTTTTAAAATAAAACCAAAAATAAGAACATGAAAAACTATTTTCTTCATTATTTGTCTCCAAAAAACAAACAAACAAACAAACAAACAAAAACAGATAACGATTTGTTGTTTTTTTTCAGTTTCTGATTTTGTGTTTAAGTGAATAATGGAAAAAAAACTGATAAAGTTTATTTCCAGTTTCCGTGACTTAAACTGTGATGCTGGACTGAACCAGGACTGAACCAGACTGAACCAGGACTAAAACAGGACTGAACCAGGACTAAAACAGGACTGAACCACGACTGAACCACGACTGAACCACGACTAAAACAGTACTGAACTAGGACTAAAACAGGACTAAACCAGGACTGAACCATTACTGAACTAGGACTGAACCAGGACTGAACCAGGACTGAACTAGGACTGAGTGTCGGGACGGGCCTGGAGGTGCGCTTGTGTAGACCATCGAGTGATCAGGACTGAGACCGAGACCAGACCGGGACTGAGACCGTTTTTTCCATTATTCATTTAAACACAAAATCAAAAACTCGTTATCCATTTTTTTTTCATTTTGGAGATAAATAATGAAGAAAATAGTTGTTTTTTTATTTTCTTATTTTTGGTTTTAGTTTGAAAAATGAATGAACTAATGACACACGGATTCAAGAAGATATTTTGAGAAAGAAACGTGAAGTAGAATTATGAAAACATCTACAGTGCTCATACCTAATTTTACTTGAAACTTTTAAAAATGATTATTGTAGTCGAATTTTGGACACTTTGTGGCTGTAATTTTAACATCTTTAGATTAGACACTTCACCCGCCTTGCCTGTATGAATTAGGGTTGTCAAAAGTGTAGAAAATCACATACTAATCGTTACTAAAACTAGTATTGAAACTAGATACTCATTTGTGCAAGTATCGATACTAAAAAGTCACATTCACAGGACAGAAATGAACCTTTCCTGAATAGTTTTAGACTGATCTTGAGCTGTATCAGAACAAGTATAAGAGCACATAGACTAGTTTACGCCCATGGACCACTGTGGAACCTACTTGGACCACTGAGGGATTACACAGATGCCCACTAGAATCCATTTCGGCCAGTATAGGACCTTTACGAAAGCTTTTACAACCTTTTTTTCCCTGTTCTCTTCAGTCTACCACGCTCTGTATTTGGAGGACCTCACATTGTTGGATTTGACTGATAAACTGGCCATGCTGTTTAACACTTTACCCCAGAGAATCATACACGTGTACAGACAGAAGCCAGCGGGGATTCACGTACTAGTCACTGATGAGGTACTTTTACAGCAGTACACATATGACATAATTGATACCAGACATGTGATAGTTATAACTAATTCTGTTTCAGATGGTGCAAAACTTTACAGAGGAAACAAGCTTCATCATCAGCACAATAAGAGGTAACTGACAATGAAATCTGTTACAATATACTGTAAATATACCGGCAAAAAGCAATATTATTATAACAAGAGTTAACCTTAAAGGGCCCATCTCATGCTAAATAACTCTTTTCACATTGTATCTTCTACACATATACAAGCACAATAGGTAACACTTTATAATAACTACACCTTATTTAGCCTTAATAAAGCATGAACAAAGGCTTAATTAATAATGAACAAAGACTTAATTAATAAAATCAAATCTGAATTGAGCATTAAGCCCTGCAGTCTGAACGTAGTCATAGATAAATTTAATCTATACTGTGGAACATTCTAAACACAGAAATAACATTTCCATGGAGACGAGCAGGTGGCGGACCCTGCACTAGAAATGTTACTACTCATTGTAACGTTTATGCTATAGGCAGTGTTGGGAAGGTTGCTTTTGAAATGTATTTCCCTACAGATTACAGATTACATACACCAAAATGTAGTTTGTAACGTAATTCATTAAGTTACTTAAAGTGAGTAACGTAATCTGAATACTTTGGATTACTTGGTTTACTGTAGAGAAACAAAGACGAGGATATCGTAACATAAGAAGTTTTGTCTGCTAAAAGAAAATAAAAAGCTCAGACTTTACTCGACCAAATTAAAAATATTATTGATAGAAGACGAGGAGACACAGTCCATGCAGCATGATTTAGTCCTGTTAAATCCTGTTTGAGACATAGTTTAGACCTGGTTTAGTCCTGGTTTAGATCTGGTTTTAGACCTGGATTTAGACCTGGTTTGGACCTGGTTTGGACCTGGTTTAGACCTGGTTTAGACCTGGTTTTAGACCTGGTTTTAGACCTGGTTTTAGACCTGGTTTAAGACCTGGTTTAGTCCTGGTTTAGTCCTAGTTTCGATCTGGTTTTAGACCTGGTTTAGTCCTAGTTTAGACCTAGTTTTAGACCTGGTTTAGACCTGGTTTAGACCTAGTTTAGACCTAGTTTAGACCTAGTTTTAGACCTGGTTTGGACCTGGTTTTGACCTGGTTTAGATCTAGTTTAGTATCCGGCAATGAGTGGAATTACCGAAAAAAAATAAAAAATAAAAATAAAGGGATATTACCCAAATGTGAAAACAGGAAAACACCTCTGTGTAATCCATTTATTTCAACAAAGTAACTGTACTCCAATTACCACTCACTTAAACAGTAACTGTAACCGAATACAGTTACTCAGAATTTGTACTCTGATTACGTAGCTCTGGTACATGTAATCTGTTACTCCCCAACACTGGCTATAGGGAAAAAATATGAAATTATAACCACACCTTACATTTTTCTAATCTTTTTTCTGCAGATGAAAACACAGATGGATTCCACATTGTTTTAAAATGAACCCCAACTATTGTACAGCCTGTAAATATACTTTTTATGTTATATTTTCTGTTTTTGGACGGCTTTAGTTTTACTTAGCCTACTCATTTTTGCTTTTGGTTCCAATATTGAAGCTTCAAGACCAGCTGAAGCAAAAGCAGAAGTCTAAAAATGTTATTTGTACATTTACCACAATGTTGTAAAAACTACGCCTACTTCTGTACAGGCATAAACTGTAATATATGAAAATGAAAATTCTGTAATATTTAAATTGAAAGACCAGACTGATAATTTTGGTTTTGTCGTGTGTGTGGATTGTTTTGTAAATAAATAAAACACTGTAATAGTACGTTTACATTTGTTGATTTCTCTTTTTCCTTTTCTTTCTATTTTGAGACTTGATAAAATGGACTAAGACTCGGGACTTGACTTGGACTTGAGCCCTGTGAGCTGAGACGACTTGACTTGACTCCTCTCTAGAAAAGAAGAGTGTTATTTTACAGAAATATTTGTGGCCAGGACTTTTTTTCACGAGGTGTATTTGGTCAGCTGAATTTTAATGGAGGTCTATGGGAGAGCGTGAAGTTTGCAGAAAATTTGATGTCATTACGTCGCTTCTGCTCGTTACTTTACATTACAGCATTAAAATACGTCTTGGGGGAGCAGGGTGAGGACGACCTGAAATCAAGTGGTTGGTCTAAATAAACATTATCAATCCGTGTATCATTCGTTCATTCGTTTTTCAAAATAAACAAAAAAAAAAACTAAACTATTTTCTCCATTATTTGTCTCCAAAACCAAAATGAAAAAACAGATAACGATTTGTTTTTTCAGTTTTTGATTTTGTGTTTAAATGAATAATGGAAAAAACGGATAACGGCCGTTTCCCGTTTACATGACTTCCATAAGTGCGATGCTGAAGTTTTGTGTTGCATATGGACTGAACCAGGACTGAACCAGGTCTGGGACCAGACCGGAACCAGACCGGGACCAGACCGGGACCAGAGCGGGACTGAGACCGGGATTGAGACCGGGATTGAGACCGGGACCAGACCGGGACCAGAGCGGGACTGAGACCGGGATTGAGACCGGGACCAGACCGGGACCAGAGCGGGACTGAGACCGGGATTGAGACCGGGACCAGACCGGGACCAGACCGGGACCAGAGCGGACTGAGACCGATTGAGACCGGGATTGAGACCGGGACCAGACCGGGACCAGACCAGGACCAGACCGCGATCAGACCGGGTCTGAGACCGGGACCAGACCAGGACCAGACCGGGACTGAGACAGGGACTGAGACCGGGACTGAGACCGGGACTGAGACCGGGACCAGACCGAGACCGGGACTGAGACCAGGACCAGAACGGGACCAGACTGGGACTGAGACCGGGACCAGACCGGGACCAGACCGCGATCAGACCGGGACTGAGACTGGGATTGAGACCGGGACCTGAGACCTGGAGACCAGACCGGGACCAGACCAGGATTGAGACCGGGACTGAGATCGGGACCAGCCTGGGACCAGACCAGGACTGAGACCGGGAGGGACTATGTCTCTCGGCTGGCCTGGGAACGCCTCGGGGTCCCCCCGGAGGAGCTGGAGGACGTGTCTGGGGTGAAGGAAGTCTGGGAGTCCCTGCTTAGGCTGCTGCCCCCGCGACCCGGCCCCGGATAAGCGGACGAAAATGGATGGATGGATGGTTTACACTGCACATAATGCAACTAAATACCAGAAAAAACAAAAACAAACAAACAAAAAAAAAACCACAATATGTCTTTTTAATATGCTGAATTTCCCACTCTCTGATGGGGACAGGAAGATACGAATGTTAAATGCGCCTGTTCTAGGTCAATTTTTTATTTATTTATTTGTTTATCCAACCATAATATACAGCTTATGCATTATAACAATACACAGAGACAATTGTCTAGAACTATAAGTCTGTACTTCAAAGTGTAAATGCACATGCACAGATGGTTCATGTGTCTGATGTTTAAGGGTCAGTGCACACTCCTCTGCTCAGTCTGATGTGAAATCACTTTTTCTTTCTGTTGTTTCAGGCTGAAGACGGTCCGTGCTCAGAGTGTCCTCTGTGAGGAATCAAAACTCTACATTTGCTGTTTTAACAATAAATTGTAAATATTGTACAATAAACTGTTGGTATTGTTGCTTTATTTCACATGACATACAGTTTGTTCTCTCAAAATATGTCAAATATCAAATTGGTCAATATCATCTCAAGTCTATATGAGACTCACACTCGTATGTGCGGATCATTTAGACTGACAAGCAGCAGTTAAGTATTTTCTATTGGCACGATTAAAGAACTGCTGCAATAGTCTTATGTTTATCAGGCAGCTGAGGTATTTTTCACTGAGTGTGTATACATGCACATCAATAACCCGGTTATTAGCCATACCCCGGTTATGTCAGTATTCGGGTTACTGCGTATACATGCGCACTGAGAAACCGGGATACTCATATTCGCGTATACATGATCAAATGGAGTATCCCGGTTTCTTGACATAATCTTACAAATGCGCAGGCGCAAAAATTAACTTAAATCAATTTCATAAACCAGGAAAAATACAAACCGTGAGCTCCTTTAGCATAAGAAGCTAAGGAGCTACGAGATCTCCCACAATCCACTGTGCAGATTCTTCATTAAAATCTTCTGCATAAATAAACTCAACTTTACAACATATAAACCATAAACACTATAGAGCTACATCAGCCCGTTTGATCATATAATTCAGCTGTGATCACATTTGTTTACGTTTTTACAGAAACGAAACTTTGACCGTTTGGCTAATTAGCATAAACTGTTAGCGGCGATAAAAACAACTCGCTCCTTGCGCCGCTGATGTGATCAGTTTCTTTTGGACTAAATGACACGACTCTGTGGATTATGTGTGTTTATTTCTGTGACAGAAGAGGCGCTAAATGATGGTAAGTGTGTGTTCCGTGCGTATAGAGTATAGGAGATAGTTCATGTTTTAGCTTTTCAGCGGTCACACGAGTGCAGGTCGTACGAGTGCAGATTGTACATGTGCAGGTTTAGCGCAGCTCTTAATTTTACAGTCATTTCACTTGTTACTTGTGGCATGTATACGCAGTATCCCGATTACTGCAACATAAAGTTGAGTGCGCATGCGTCCAAAAGACACTTTCCAGCCTTTCACCACAACAGTAGCGACATAAATAAATTGACCAATATAAATAAAGTGACCAAACGAGTGAAATGACTGTAAAATAAAGAGCTGCGCTAAACACGTACAATCTGCACTTGTATGACCTGCACTCTTGTGATCGCTGAAAAGATAAAACATGAACTATCTCCTGTAAGACACACGCACAGAACAGACTCACCATCATCAGCACCTCTTCTGTCACAAAAAGAACACACATAATCCACAGAGTCGTGTCATTAGTCCAAAAGAAGCTGGTTGCATCAGCGTCACAAGGAGTGAGTTGTTTTTATCACCGCTAACAGTTTGTGCTAATTAGCTAAACGGTCTTAAGTTTCGTTTCTGTAAAACGTAAACAAATGTGATCACAGCTGAATTATCTGATCAAACGGGCTGATGTGGCTCTACAGTGGTTATGGTTTATATGTTGTAAAATTGAGTTTATTTATGCAGAAGATTTTAATGAAGAATCTGTTGGGTTTGATCTGCACAGTAGATTGTGGGAGATCTCGTAGCTCCTTAGCTTCTTATGCTAAAGGAGCTCACGGTTTGTATTTTTCCTGGTTTATGAAATTGATTTAAGTTAATTTTTGTAAGATTATGTCAAGAAACCGGGATACTCCATTTGATCATATATATGCGGATATGAGTATCCCGGTTTCTCAGTGCGCATGTAAACGCAGTAACCGAATACTGACATAACCGGGATATGGCTAATAACCGAGATACTGATGTGCATGTGTACGCACTCATTGATAGAAACCTTGGGATAGTTGTCATGGTGATTCCCGTCAGGTGGGCGTGGTCACGTGAGCACAGATGTATGCTGGGTTCTTTAAAAATGGCGCTCACCTGCACAGGTAAGGGACCTGTCACCTGATGACATGGCACAGAGGAGCCGAGCCAACTCGTTTTGTTTGTCGACAGCTTCACGTAAGTCACTCTTGATGTCACTTCAAACGCTGCTTTATGTCAGAGGAAGCTCCTCTCACGGCAGCGCGACGTTTTTAACAACAAAGAAAGAAAAGGCGGAGTGGAAGCGCAGGACCCGCGCAATTCAGGAAAACGCACCAAAACTGCAGCGGCACCCAGATCACCATCAGCACGACAAACAGCACGGAGGAGTCCAGGTGAGTCTTACGAGTCCAGGTGAGTCTTGTCTGTAGATACAGAATCATTATTGCAATAATAAATTGCTGTTCGGTTGTAAATGTTGGATGAATGAAGCTGCTGCTGCTGGTGCAGATTTTTCTCCGCGCTCTGATTGACGTTTCTGTAATGTGCAAAGTGAACTGAAATAAATAACGTGATGATGTGATGAGTTTCAAATGATAATGATGCTTTCATTGAAAGGAAATCTATTTCACTCTGTGGATGTGTTTTAAATGATGGTTCACTGAAAAAGGTGGATTATAAAAGAAAAACATGAAGGTGCGGCCTTGTGTCCTGAAACTGTCTGGTAAAAGGAAACTTACAGAAAGGCCTTTTCTGAAAACAAATGCAAAAGGTTTTGTCAGTAAAATGAAGGAAACTATGCCACAAATGAAACTCATGAAACAAAAGCAAAACGTGTGTCAAATAAAATCTCTCTGTATTTTGATGTGTGAAAATGTTATTTATCACAAAGAGTGAAACCGTGAGGAAAATGTGTTTTTCAAACTGAACAAACTGCAATGAAAAGGTTTAAACATGTACACCAAGCTTGGATCAATGAACTGGAACACAAAGACTCAGAATTATATGAAATGAATGAACTGATCATTTTCCAAACATGAATGATATAAGGATGGTACAGGACCTGCCGTAAAATACTCAGACATGCAAATTTAAACAAGTGGAAAACAAAAAGTGGAAAGTGTCATCAAAGATTTCAAATGGGATGAAAACCTACTTGGAAAATAAAAATATCTCATCTATACTGGAAATATAAAACCGTACACAAATGCATCCAACTGTACAATGGTCACGATGTAACCCTCAAATCCTAAAACATTTATTCTTTCTTTCTATTCTTTACCTTGTGTCCTCTCAAAACAAGATCTGAATACTGAGGATTTTAACGGCTCAGATTTGGGCCTAAACTGGTTCAAATGTATCAGATTCTACACACACTTTTATGGAGACTGTGTGGTCTCTTGTGGGTTGATCTGGTCTAAATGTGGACT